ACAGGGTCAGAAACATAAAGCAAAAGGTCATCTGCATAAAGTGAAACCTTATGGACAGTATCCAATCGTGTGATGCCTTTGAAAGTGGCTTCTGAACGTAACTGCAAAGCCAAGGGCTCAATGACCAGAATAAACAGCAAGGGGGAAAGAGGGCAGCCCTGCCTGGTGCCACGACTTAAAGAGAAGGAGGGGGAGAGAGTATCATTTGTCCGAACCGAGGCTCTGGGCGATGAGTAGAGGAGTCTCACCCAAGCCGTGAAGCTCCTGCCCAGTCCAAATCCGGCCAGCACATTATATAAGAAGCTCCATTCTACCCTGTCAAAGGCCTTCTCTGCATCCAGAGACACAACAACTTCGGGGACCAGAGAGCTGGGAGAAGTAATGATGTTAAAAAGACGTCTAGTATTGCAGGAAGACTGCCTACCTGGCATAAAGCCAGACTGGTCCAGGTCTATAATTGATGATAAGACACGTTGCAGACGTAAAGCAAGGACCTTTGATAGAATTTTAAAATCAACGTTTAAAAGTGAAATCGGCCTATAGCTGCTACAGAGCAGGGGATCTTTGTCCTTTTTAAGAAGCAGAGAGATGGTGGCCTCCGACAGGGTATTTGGAAGGCAACCGAGAGCAAAGGCCTCATTACACATATCTTTGGGAAAAGGACTAAGTAGAGCAGAAAAGGTCTTATAATATTCTGTAGTAAAACCATCTGGTCCAGGTGACTTGCCACTCTGGAGTGCCCCAATAGCTTCCTGAACTTCAACAGTGGTAATGGGAGCGCCAAGCATTTCTGCTGAGTCAACTGTGCTAGAAAAGGTGAATTTTCCTCTTATTACAGTGTCGGGGGAAGGTGGACAGTCAGATGTATAAAGAGCAGTACAAAATTCGGCAAAGGCATTGTTTATATCGTTAGGGTTGGTAAGGGTTACACCCAAGGCAGATTTTATTGCTGGTATAAGTCTGGAAGACGCCTCGGCCCGGGCCTGGTGTGAGAGAAGCTTACCAGCCTTATCACCTGATTCATAGAAACGTTGCCTAGATTTAAGTAAAGCGGTTCTGACAGTGGTGGTGGAAATTAGATCAAGTTCTGTTTGCAATGCAAGGCGCTCCTTATAAAGCTCAGGGTCAGGATTGGTGGCATTCCGTTGGTCCACATCCTTAAGTTCATTCAGAAGCCAATACGTACGAGCAGTTTCTGCCTTCTTCTTGTTAGAAATAAAAGAGATAAGTTGGCCTCTGATGTAAGCTTTAGAAGCATCCCAGAGAGTGCTTCTACTTGTGTCCTGTAGGTCATTCAGTTCAAAAAATAAAGAAATCTGGGAATGCAAAAACTCTTTGTAGGATTCCTCCGCCAAAAGAACAGAGTTAAACCTCCACAGCTTAGGCAAACCTGATCGAGAAAGCAGTGCCAGGTCAAGAGACACTGGCGCATGATCTGATATTGCAATGGTATGATAGTCGGTGGCAACCAGTTTTGATAAAAGTCTGACATCTAAAAAAAAAAAGTCTATGCGAGAATAAGAGTGATGGACATGAGAGAAGAATGAAAATGCTTTAGCCCCTGGAAATGCATGTCTCCAGGGATCTGTAAGACCAAGCTGTTCAGAGAAAGTGAGCAGAGTGTTTGCTGCCTTAGTGAGGGAAAAAGATTTGTTGGAAGACCGATCCAACAGTGGGTCTTGAACAAAATTAAAATCCCCTCCTACAATTATGTAATGATTTCCAATATCCGGGAAGGATGAGAAAAGTTTAGTTACAAAAAGACTATCATCCCAGTTGGGACCATAGACACATACAAACAAGAACGGCATCTCCCGAAGCCTCCCAGAAACCACTGCATATCTGCCATTTGGATCTAAGACTGATCTCTCTGATATAAAGGGAAAGCCTCTGCGAAAAATGATGGCCGCGCCCCTGGCCCTACCATTAAATGTAGAGTGAAAGACTTCACCAACCCAATGCTTTTTAAGCCGTACGACCTGCTTGTTTAACATATGAGTCTCCTGGTTAAAATAGACATCACCCTTAAGATGATTTAAATGAGTCATTACACGTCCCAATTTTGTGGCATTCCCCATCCCCTTCACATTCCAAGAAACAAGTCTAAGTGGGTTATTTGTCATTGCCATACCTTATGACTGTCAGAAATGAGGTATTGAACGCTGCCAGGGACCAGAAGAAGCAAAATGGCAAAATGGACATAGTAGATTCCTGTAAGGGAAAAAAGTGAGGGAGAAAAAGAGAAGAAGAAATAAAGAGAAAGAGAGAGGAGAAAAAAAAAACAAACACAAACATAACCCCAATGGCCAAATCCCTCCCATACATACGTGGAACTCAAGTGTCCTTTGCACAAAGGTGTCTCATACACCTTTAGGGCTTCCAGCATGAATCCAAGTCCCAACTCCCCCAATATTAAAGGTTGTATAGAGGATTTTCCAAGGAACGAGAAATCCAGCGACTCTTTGTCCTTTTTCAAATTTTGCGCATGCGTGAAACCCCCCCCCCCCCCCCCCCCCCTCCCCTACAGCTCCCCTACGTAGAAACGCCTTACGCCAGAAACAGGTTTGTTTACAGCCGGTGCGCTGCACATGACTTGTAAACAACTAACTACAGTGTTGGTTAGGCGAGGCGGAGAAGTGAGGAGCGGGGGGAGCGGGTGCGCCGACATTTCGTGCGCGGACGAGAAGTGAGGAGGAGGGAGAAGAGCGGAGCAGGGAGCAGGAAGAGGAGAGAGGAGAGGGGAGCGGTGCGCGGAGATTCCGTGCCCGGAGAAGTGAGGAGCAGGGGAAGAACGGAACGGGCAGCGGGGACAGGAGCAGGAAAGGGTGCAGAGAAGGTTGCGCGGAGATTCAGTGCGAATGAACTAGCTACAACACGCAGCAGCAAGCGGACTCTTTCTTTGCCTTGAAAATGACGTTTTCAGACATAGGATATCGCTTTCGTGTCCTGAAAAACGTTTGTGTAGCTCTTGGAAACAAAGTACGTTTTCATAATAAGCAGAAGTGACCTGTCCAGGAGTAATTTGGCGACCAGTGCGTCAGTCTTTAGACCCTTCGTCTGCTTCAGTTGCGCCATCGCTGGAATGAATCTATAAGAATCACCTTAGTTTGGCTTCGCTGCTTTTCCCCTTGTCTTCTTCTTTCAGCGACCTCAAAAACGGACTTTCTTTTGCGGCTAACTGCTCCTGGATTCTTGTCGCCATTGCAACAAACTTTGTGCTAACTGCGAGGAAGATATAGGTAAAAAAAAAGCCGCTAAGAACTGTTGCGTTGGTGGAGTAAACAGCGTCTGTGCGGCTTGCGTCTGTGGACTGCGTGACAGTCGTACGTAAACCACGTACCGGCAGCGCGCAGGCAAGTCAGTTACGCTAGAAACGTAGGGAGTTTGATTGACAGCCTGTCAGCTCACAGATAACGAGGCAGTGTCGTTATCTATTGGCAAATGTTTAGCCCCACCACGTCCAGAGTTGATGAATTTTTATTCTCTTTTTTTTGGTCATCATAATTACAAGGCTACTGCACCTCTATAATGCTATCATTGACAATTTGAAACAAAAAAAAATCCTCCATACAACCTTTAAGGCACTCACAATAATGGTCAGATAAAAAAAAAAGTGTCAATACTGTGCATACACGGCTATTTATTGCCAACAACTTATACCAAAGAGGCAAGCGCATCAATAAAGTAAACAGTAGCCAATAATAAAAAATAAAATGAAATAATATAATGAAATTTTTATTTTTTATTTTTTCTTCCTTCCTTCCCTTCATATAATACTATGAAAACCATTGCGGACAAAAAAAATAATAATAATAATACTAATAATAATAAAATAAAATAAATAAAAATAAAAATCGTCCTATTCCTGCAGTCAGAATGCAGTGCTCATATTAAGCACTGATGGTTACTTGGTATGGCTGTCAGTTCACCTCTGGTTCATCTTGGCGGCGACGACGAGATGCAAAGTCCGCAGCTTCCTTCACAGAGGGAAGAAGTTTCAAGTACAACGAATAGCTTAGCCAGGTACCTCAGGGCGGGTTTGTAGCCCAACTCGTAGAGCCTCTTCATGACATCTCGGTATTGGTTGCGTTGCTCCATAACTTCTGGGGTGTAGTCCTCGAAGATGTGGACAGGGGAGTCCTTGTATTTCAGTTTGCCGCGCAGTTGGCGTGCCGCCCGCACCACCACCTCCCGGGTTTGAAAACGATGAAAACAAATCACAACTTGCCGTGGTTTACCCGAGAGCTTCGGCTTAGCGGGCTGCGCGCGGTGAGCCCTGTCCAGCTCCGGGGGTGACGCCAAGATGTCAGCACCAAGCATGTCAAAAAGTAGCTGTGAAAAGAAAGCTGTTGGCCTGGAGCCTTCAATGTTTTCGGGTAGCCCAACAATTCGGATGTTGTTGCGACGGCTCCTGCCTTCGAGATCCACTAGCTTAGTCTTCAACTTCGCGTTCTCTTTGGCTATCGCTTTTAGTTCGGCCCATTTATCAGTCATCTGGTCACTGGTGGTGTTTGCAGACTGCTCCAAACTAGCGATACGCTCTGCATGGTCGTCAACGGTGGCCTGAACAGTGGTCAACTTTGCTTCATATTTTGTGTAGGTGTCCCTGATTTCGGCCAACAGCTCAGATTTAGTTTCGGCTAGCTTCGTGGTTAGCACAGCTGTAAACGCGCTAACGCTTGCCGCATCTTCCCGTTCCTGCTCGTCCTTCTTTCCTTTCGGAGGCATGGTTTCGCTCAGAAAATGGATTGCACACTTTAAAACTCTATGTGGTCAAGCAAGAAAGGCTTTAGCGAGTAGATGACCGAGTAGAAGTGATAAAGTTCGGGGGACGCAAACACACGCGTCTACTCCATTAAACCACCCAAAACAAAAACATTTTAATACCAACTTAATGCCCTTCTTATTGGTTACCACTGCAGTCTCCTATATAAATGAGAACACTGCATACTTTGGTTTACTGAAATATTTACATGACCTTTGACCCTCCCCAGTCTCACCTGAGCCAAAAAACGATCCGATGCAGTTCCATGTTTGGCCAGTAGGAGTGGGGGCAGCGGGTTACTGTACTCAAACTGCGGGTTGTAGGTGAAATCCGACTTGAAAAACTTGGCCTTCTCCTGCTCCACGTTGGTCGGTTTGATTGCGGCCAGGATGCAGAACCTTCTGGAACTCTCCCCCTCCTCCAGTTTCACCGGTTTGTTCAGATACGGCAGCTTGGTGGACGTTAAACTGGGGATGTAGGCTTTCCTGAGATGCAACGAGCGTGGGACTAACCCAAAAGTACTCCCCACGATGGACATACTACTTTTACCAGGCCTGGGTAAACTAGAAGTACTGCTTGAAAATATATAGTTACTCTGAATGGCTTTGCTACCTTCTTGGCTCTTTCTAGAAACAGTTTTTTTCTTGCTTATTGACAAACTTTGCTTCACCGATTTCCTCCTTCGATGCGGTGAGCGTTTGGGACTCTTCTTCTCCCCGTCTTCGGCCTGGAGCAGGACGTTGTAGCTGGTGGATCGGAGCGTGAGGAGGTCTTTGAGGACGTCTGCGGGGAACTTGTCCAGATAAACCTGACTTGGACTCACCGCCTTGTCGCTGTTGAGGACGGATTTCTTGGACAGTTCCACCTTTGGCCAGTGGAGACGCTCTGGAAGAGAGAAAAAAAGTGAGATAGAAAGAAAGGACTAAATTCATACCATGCTTCATACAAATGTACAACAACTCACCCTTATGTAACAGATAATACTCCCTACAACTGTACAACAACTCACCCTTACGTAACTATGTCCTGTCAATCATCATATCATTTTTGCACTGTTTTCCTTACGACCTCTTATATAGAGCTTTGATATGATTTTTATTACTATATTTTTATATTTTATTTTTACTTATACATCTGTCTCTTGCCATTTCTGCTACTTATTTAGAATTTATTAGACCATTTCTCCTTGTTCTTATAAAATGTTGTGAGCTACTGTGTCCAAATAATTTCCCTTGTGGATCAATAAAGTTTTTTCTACGTCAACATCAGGGTATCCCCAGGTTTGACTACCCTAAATTTAAGACTTTTTTTTAAAGACCACTTAAATGAAAATTAAGACCAACATCGCACCCATTATGCGGGTGAAAAACACCAGCTCCAGTTCTAATAATGACCATTACTCACTGTTTTAAGTAACAAAAAATACTTTAATTATAAAATCTCATTCAGAACTCATTTATAGTTGTATGCATTGCTTGTAAAATGGCCAGAAAATAATTTATTACATTCTAACAAGTCAAACCAGCCTTTCACATTGTCTTGTCTCACATTGTCTTTCAAAGCGCTTCAACCATTTAATATTTTCAACAACAACAAACTATTGTTCACTGTACTGATTGTTTACTCATTGCCGCTGGCGCCAGAAACCAAAGTATTATTTGCTCATACTCCAAATTAGACGTTCATTCACGTTACATGATTTCACGTAGTTTTTTTTTTCCTCCCTCTGTTTAACATTGCATTGCAGCCTGGGTGAGTAAACAAAAAAAATAGGCTAATGAAATGTAAGACCTTTGTGAAAAAAATAAGACTTGGACAACATAATTTAAGACTTTTTAAGGCCTTAATTTAGGAACATGAAATTGAAGACCTTTTTAAGACTTTTAAGACCCCGCAGCTACTTTGTGAAGTCATTTGAAGTCATTTTTCTCAGTTTCACAATCTGGGGAGTTAAAGTCTTTTGCCTTTGTAGGACAGTCTAGGTCTAGGAATTACTGACTAATTTTAGACACAAACTAAGAGGCTAACACACAATGAATCGTATAAACCCCAGTATCAATCGTTTTTTATTACACTTCCTCTCTAATGCTATTCATTTGTAAACTGAGAATAGCTCTAATTTACCCCCACGGCGATAAGAGGATTAGTCTATCTCGCCAAAAGCCCTGCACGTGCTTTAGTTCTCTTGCCCGACCAGCCAGTCTCTTCTACATTCTGTTTGGGTCTGGAATCCGACCACAGAGCGAGAAAAACCTCCATCCAAACTTGAAACTGCTGAGCTGTATCACAATTAAGATGTAACGCTCACACATCACAATATTAAAAAAACACATAAATGGTCATAATAAACTCAAAATAAGTAGCAGAAATGATGTCAAATAAGGCATAATTATATAAATGTATAAGTACAAGTTTAAATTTAATAAAATAAAAAATAGAAATAAAGTAATAACCATATATTTACTTCTTTTGTCTGTCCTGTTCTTATTTTTGTGTTACTTTATTGTGAAGCATCTTTGAAAAGCATGTATTTTTCTTATTATATAAGCCAGTTACTGTATATATTGTGTAAGAATTGCATTAGGTATTTGATGGTTAAAGTTGTATTGCATTTTCACAAAAAAATCATACTTAAAAAGCAGGTCCCCTTGTGCTAAACTCAGTATTTACCATTATTAGAATAGACCCTGATAGTCTATATCAAATTGAAGAATAAATTTGTATTAAACATAACACTTTTTTGTTGTTGTATTATCGTAAATATACACAAGTAACTTTATTTCATTTTTATTTAGTCCATTATTGATTAACAGAGGTAATAAGTCACATATTTACTCCAAAAAGACACCAAAGTCTTGGATCAGTCTCCAGGAAATGAACGGAAGTTTGATGGAAACCAAGTATACTTGTATTGTTTGAGTAGTCCACAGGAAAAAAAAAAAAAACTTTTTCATCAGAATGAGTAATAGAGGACTCTGTTAGCTAGTATGTTGATAAATAAATAAAAATACTAAAATAAAAGTGTACTATTTTCTTTTCTAACAAGATATATACGATGATATTTTGGTGGTTATACGGTTATACCTACAGTCCTTTCACTTTTGTGCAATACTTTAACCAAATCAGCTACACACATGTTATAGATTTTGACTGTAAATGTATAAAACTATTATTCATTTTTATTTTTAGTCTCAAAAGTCTAAGTCTAAGTCAGTCTAAATCTAAGTCTAAGTCTATAAAATATTCTATACACTCAGTGAGCAATGGAAAGTCTGTATAATTAAATAAATGTACACTTATCTTATCTACACACTATATTTTTGTTTACTTGTACATATGCATTTATATAATTATGCCTTATCTGACACCAATCTCTTGTTATTTTTGCTCATTATTTAGAATTTATTATTACCAATGATATTTTTGCTCTTTGTTATTGCATTACTAGTAACTATATTGTGATGTACGAGCTAAATAATTTCCCTTGTGGATCAATAAAGTTTGTCTACGTCTAAATAGCAGTGCACTCAAGTAGAATCGTGCCATCTTAAACAAGCAGTCATCATTTTAGTGCTACAATCAATGTGACTGCTCAGGCATCACATTAAACTCTATTACCTAACAGCAGCCAGGCTATTACAGCATCGCCACATTTTAATCCTAAATACTTGGAAATATAAAGATAATTTTTTAAACTCAACCAACGTGCATTTAAAACAAATATTTTAGAGTGAATCTAAGTTGGGAAAGATTGTGAAAAGAGCTGCAAGTTTAATTTATAATATGAAAACTACAACTGTGCTAATAATCTGGTCTGGATAATGGAAGTATAACACGTGCTTTTGGATGATGATGATGCTAACGTTAATGCTGGTCTGTAATAGCGATAATTACGGTTTTGTCGGTGCTAAAATAAAATTAAAAGTCTTACCTGTCACATTTATAGACTCCAGCATGGTTGGTTCACTTTATTTCGAGGAAAATCCAAATCTAGACGCAGATTAGCCGCACTTGCACAGTTGAACCTCGAAAGCAAAAGCAAAGCGACAGTCAAACAAAAGCTTTTACCGGACAGAAAACCGGAAAACTACGAGAATCTTGCAGTAAGAAATAGATTAAGTTTTTTTTAGATGGACACAGGACAGTTCGTCTCGTCTTCACGGAGTCCAGACGAGTAAATGCGCGGAGAGAAGCACCGCATCATCCACTCAGCGGTTTCCATGGTTTCAGCGGGGGCGCGGCGACGTTCGTGACAAGGGATGATGGGAAATGGAGTCCAGATAGAGCCAAATACAGTTTACAGAAATGGCAGTAACAAACAACAAAGTAAAAGTAGTCAAGTGAACTTAAGTATACATTTTAGGTATTAGTATTTTTTTTTTTATTGTTTCTTTATTTATTTCATTCATAAAGTATAAAAAGACATCAACAGTGTCACAACATCAAACATACAAGAAATGAATGAAAAGGAGCAGAAAGAAGAGTCATCTTATGTTATCTGCCCACTTTTCCCTTTTCAAGACAAAACATCAACACTGATAGTTACTTTAGAACATTTCAAATCAGTACCTTTCAGTTCAGGCACAGTTATTAATCAATTGCAAACAGAAATCTTCACTTTTATGCACAACAACTTAGTTTCCTTTTTCATACATACACATTGCTCTCGATTTTATGTGTTTTTTAAATGCCATCATAGTACTTGATTCTTTTATATCTTTGTCAAGACTATTCCATAAGTTAACTCCTTTCACAGTGATGCTTCGCTCCATAACCTTGGTTCTGAATCTGCTCTTTTTGTGCACTTTTTACTTTTACTTCTTACTACTACTTTTAACTTTTAATCCACTACATTTGAAAGCCTGTATCTGTACTTTCTACTGAACTACATTTTTAAATGGATTGAAAATTTATTTTCTATATTTAAATTTTTATATTATATTATACTCAAACGTGTTACTCCATGGTTACTCAACGTTACTCAAATGTGTGAATAAAACAAAACACAACTCCAAGTATGTTTTTGGAAAGGTAACAGTATTCTAATATTGATAAAAGTTCAAATGAGTCAGTTTTGCAGAATATATGACCTTTCAGAAACAAGGTAGGTGCTGTATGGACATATTAAATAAGTAAAGAGCAGGCAATGTCACTTACGTAAATTGTACCAGTTAAGATTCACGCTACATGTGGGTGACAAATGCATAGAGCTAGTGTTGTTCATTATACTTTTTTATTGTAGACTACAGTCTGACAGCAGCAGGAGGAGGACTGCAGCAAATGCAATATGTGCAGTATGACTCACTGGAACTTAAACAAAATGTATTGATCCACAAGGGGAATTATTTGGACACAGTAGCTCACACATCACAATATAATATAATAACAAAGAGAAAAAATATAAATGGTAATAATACATTTTAAATAAACAGCAAAAAAGATAACAAGACACAGGTCACAATGAGACATGATTATGTAAACGTAAATGTGCACATCGAAATAAAATAGAAAAATTATTAATAAAATATAAAATCTCACATATATACAAGAGGTCATAGGAAGACAGTGCAACAATGATATGATTTTGACAGGACATAGGGTTATCCGTTACATAATGGTGAGTTGCTGTACAGTTGTTGGGAGTATTATCTGTTACATAAAGGTGTGGTGTTGTACAGTTGTTGGGAGTATTATCTGTTACATAAAGGTGTGGTGTTGTACAGTTGTTGGGAGTATTATCTGTTAAATAAAGGTGTGGTGTTGTACAGTTGTTGGGAGTATTATCTGTTACATAAGGGTGTTGTTGTACATTTGTATGGAATATGATATGAACATAATCCTGTATCTCTCAGTGTTTGAACTCAGCTGTAGGAGCCTGTTGGATAATATGCTCATCTGTCTGTATTTCTCTATAGTCTGGTGCAGATCCATGGGTGCAGTGGGTGAGCAGGATTGTCCATGATACAGAGCAATTTGTCCAGTGTCCCCCTGTGTAGCTCTTCTTTTTTCCATGCAAAAACATGCAAAAAAAATCTACCGTTGCTGTTAAAGTGGTCGCAGTGTGGGAGACAGTCACTGAAAATGTGTATTGTGTGTGGACGTGGTGCCTGGCAGTCTCCCTCAACAAAAGCAGAAGTGTCACATTTGCATTTCAACTCCACCGTTCCAAGACTGTACGACACCACCCGCCGTGACAGTGACGCTACGTAAAAAAAATAAAAAATAATAAAATAAAATAAAATAAAAAATATTAATAAAGAATAAAAAAAAAAAAGACTGTGACGCTACGTAAAAAATAAAATAAAATAAATAAAAATGCTTGACGCTACGTGACGCTCAGATATTTAAAGCCCCGATCCTCGCTTCTGATTGGCTCCTTGCACATCCGGTGAGCTGTTGGCGCCTGCGCAGTAGCCGCAGCGCTGAAATTCAAATTTTGAACTTTGTTGTTTTGCGCAGAGAGAAGAGTCAGAGAGAAGCACCGGGCAGGAACAGGACAGGACGAAGAGCCCCTCACGTCTTGTTTTTACACATATTAACCCGTGCTAGACTTGTAATATACATTTAATCTCACACTTCGTTGGATCGGGGACACGCTTTTCGACATGGATCCGTTTACTGAGGTAAGTGCTGCTAACTAGCGTGAACGCGAAGAGCTCCTGTAATGTCTCAAAAACAAACTCCAGCATAATCGTTGTATTTTTTAGTCAGATTGACCATACACACCTTTTGGTTAATGGCAAACGTCATAAAGTGCACATTTATTGTTTTGATGCGTGCGTAAATTAAAATGTTAAAGCTAAATTACAGTCAACATGCAATAATGACGTGGCACGTGTTGTCTTTGGTTTGTTCTGACTTTCCAATCTAAAAAAAAAAAACTGTCAAAAACTTGCACTTTTTACTTTTTATTATTAAATACTATACTACTAATAATAATACTGCTAATTGTTTTGTTTAGCTGTGTTTTTTTCTTTAAATGTTTTTACTTGATCAATCGTCAGTAATATTTTTTTTGTATTAACTAACTAATGCTTTTCATTTTCTTTCTTTGCAAATAAGTCAGTCTCCTTCGTAGGTGTTGGCATGATCTCATTTGGCTATTTCTGCAGTTAGTGCTTTCCCTTTTTGCCAGGCTTCTATTTTTTGCCCCTATATGTAGATGTGATCATGCTTCGCTGTGTCAGCCCTCCACAGCCAGTAGAATTCAAATTTGAAGTGTGGTAACTGGGGGCAGGAGTGGCTCATGACTTGGGAATGCAGTAAAAAAGTGACTTGAGGTTTTCCACTGCTCATTGCTGTTGCTCCCTGGAATGTGTTTGGGCTTGCAGCTAACGTACAGCACTATTCATCAGAGTGTGACAGGCTGGCAGCGCGTGAGATCCAGATGAGAGCAGGTCAAATGGAGGAAAAGGGAAGGGCAGGACAAAGCAGATGTCTTTATCTATTTTAGACAGAGTCTGCTGTGTTGGTGTAATGAGGGCAAGTAAAGGAAGTACACTGACTGCACCCTGGCTTGTGCACTTCTAGATTTACATGGATAAGTTATGTTGAAATGTCACAAGTTTCCTCAGTTTGTCTTGTAATCAACCGGAATAGTAGCAGTATGGTGATAAGCATTCGCCAAGGAACTGGAGTGTAGAAGGTTAAATTTTCACTCAGAAACATGCTTGTTTGGTTAATTGTAAACTGAGACGTATTGCATATTTTAAAATTTCTAGCAAATCACTATATATTATTCCTATAGCATTACTAAAAAGGGAGCAGTTGCTTGTGAACTATGCTGCACAAATTCTCACATAAACCCAAAAAAGATTGTTTTTCCTTCAAATTTAATGTAGCAAGTGCTTAACTTACTGCAGAGGGAAGTTACTGACAGTAAGTGATTTGACACTTGTTTAATTGCCATTGTTGCTGCTGGGTTTTTCTATAGAAGGATCTCTGAATCACTGGTGGAGTAAATGTGACAACAGCAGTATAGTTTTAGAACCACCAAAAAAGTCACAAGGCACTGCTGTTACTTTTTTTTGGCATTATTGCTTGATGTGTGAGTATGACAATACTAAAGTTTAGTTTTATAATCATTATGAGAGGAAAATGTGTGATGCTAGGAAGTTCAGTTATTGACATCATGCCATGAATAGAAAATACTACTAAAAAGATATTCCCTCTAAATATAGAAAAATATTGTACTGCACAGTCACACAATCTACTTGCTATGGTCTCTGTGGAAATAATGTTTCTCTTTCTCTGCTGCAGAAACTGTTGGAGCGGACCAGAGCTCGTCGTGAGAATCTGCAAAAAAAAATGGCAGAACGACCAAACGCTGCAAACAGACAGATGGTGAAACGGCCCAGAGAGCCTCTGACCGAGACCAACAGTTTAATCTGTGAGCCTCCCATTGATAAAGGTAGAATCTCATCACTATGCCATTTTATTATAAATAGGCCTGTCAAGGTAAATACTATATCAAGTTATCATTCAGTATGTGAAAGCTGGAACAGTATATTTAGGAGGTCAATATTTATCGTGAGCATTTTTTCTTTGGAAAAATGGGGAGATTTTTGTTCGGCTTTCTACAGCTCAAATCTTATCATATTACAACAAAAATAGGATGATATTACTTCCTCAAAAACGTACGTGGAGTTGTGTTTTGTTTCATTCACACCTGTTTGAGTAACCCTTTTATTAATTCTGTCTCTAATGCACAAAATACTCTGTTACATCTTGTCATGTTGATGTCATGAAGCGGGAGTTGTCAAGTTAACAGCTCCTTTTACTGTTAGTTCAGTTTGGCAATTCTAGGGCTGAAATTATTCAAATTATTCTAGTGAAGGTTGGAACATGCCCTGTATTACCACATGACATCACAAGTTGGAACAGAGTGTTTTCAGTTTGAGAGAAGAACTCAGCCTAAATATGCAGGGTTTGTGTGTTAAACATGTGTGAATGAAACGAAACTCAACTCCAGGTCTGTTTTTGATGAGAAAACAACATTAATTTACAACATGGATCAGAAAATGTAATGTCGGCCCTTTTAATTATTATATATTATTGTTTATCGCAGTTTATCTCTGTTAGTAATATATCGTGCTTCAAAATGTTTTATGACAGGCCCATTTTAAACCTCTAATACTAACTAAATAAAATGTCTCATCATGTCATCTTCATTCAGTTCCACAGGCCGCTACCAAGCCCTCTCCGTCCAAACGCAAATGTTCAGGGGAAAACCAGCAACCCTCCATCGCAGACGAGGAGAACAAGGAGCCAGTGGTGCCACGATCTTTGACCCCACAGCTCCAGGACCTTCCCAACGACAAGAAACCCCCCGTGTGCCCCGCCAGCGTCAGGAGTACCCCCTCTATGGAGAGAGCAAGTCGACCCGATGTCCCATCCCAAGTGGAGCTGGAGAGGAGAGCTGAGGAGGAGAAGGAGGAGGAAAAGATGGAGGTCACGACTTCACTGCACCAGAGCAGGACCGAGGAGGAGAGGAGTGTCCCACTCGCAACAGGCATGAGGTCCCGCCTACAGATGCTGGCCGACCAGAGGAAGTGCTGGGAGGCTGGAGGTGGTAAGAGCAGACGCATATTTGAACACAAGACTTTATTTCAATTTCACACTTACTATGGGAAGAGATATTCATATTCTTTGATAAACTGACTACAGTCCTTAAAAAGAAAATTACACTTGGTGACCACTTTGCACTGACGAAGACCATCTTGTTGGTTGAAACGTGTTGGCGTCCCTTCATGAAATAAAGGACTTTTAATATATTCAGTCGGAGTGCCTCGGGTTTATACTTTGCCCACTTTTACATTTTCTAGCAAGGGTAATTTTCTGTTTAAGGACCGCTGTTTTAATCCTCGTAGAGCACCTGTACTGCTATTTTGTACTTTTTTATGACCCAGTGAAGTGCTCTACCTCTTTTTCTTCATCCAAACTCACTACAGTGTTCCACAGCTACGCTGCTACAGCTACAAAAATGATTGCATAATACTGGTCTGTTATCATTACATTATACTTCCTTTTCCGTTAATATTCCTATAGTGCATGAAATTGTGAGCTTTAAGTCACGTTATAGTGTTGCTACCTCATCAAAAACAGACCTGGAGTTATGTTGTTGTGTTGTTTCATTCACACATGTTTGAGTAATCCTAGTTTATTTTTCTATCAAGCTCAAAATGCTCTGTTCTACCTTGTGATGTCTTGTAGTGGTAGTGATTACAGCTTGACAGGAGTTAAAAACACAGTGGAACACACCCTGTTTTACTTTATGGCGTCACAAGGTGGAACAAGAGTGTTTTCAGTTTGAGATAAGAACTCGATCTAAATTTGCAGGGTTTGTGCTTTTAAACATGTGTGAATTAAACAAAACACCAACTTCAGGTATGTTTGTGATGAGGAAGTTATTACACATTATAACACTGATCAAAAATAGTGTAATATGGGCCCTTTTTTTTAGAATTAAGTTATTTTAATCAGTCACACAGTTTAAGCAAATATAAGTTTTCATTAAGGTTCTTTTTGTTCCCTGTTTTTGGGTTGGGTGGTTCATTCCTACAAAAATATATTTTGAAATTGCTTCTTTACAATTGAAAAAAATATACTTTAACCCTATGCGCAAATAGGTTTTTAGAGGAAGAACTGAAATCTTATTAGGATGTCTTGTTTTGTTTAAAGTTTGACTCATAAAATATAATAGTTATTCGGACTGTTCCATAAACAAGCAACCGTAATTTCTCTTCACTTTGACAGTTCTGAAATAAAACAGTTGTTATTCACTGTTACCATGTCAGTCAGATAAACAAAGACGCAACTGATCTGTTTTTTCGTGCCCTCTGACCCAGCAGACCCAGCGGTAGTTCCAGACAGCACCCCCCTCTCCATGCTGAAGAGACAGCCGGAGGTGCCACCTAACCCCGCCCCCTCTCTGTGCTCTGGGACTCCCGTAGGGCGCAAGGGCCGACTGGCAAATCTGGCGGCCACCATCGGCTCGTGGGAGGATGACCTGAGCCACGCTAACATCCCAAAACAAAGCGCAGCACCAGAGAAACCCGCCTCTGTGTATAAAGCTCCAATCAGAGAGGCGAACAGCAGTGTGAAACCTGCTGGACCTGTGGTGACGAGTGCAACTGCTCAAGACAAATCTATGACCAAACCTAATCAGGTAAATTACACAAACAGTTACAGCACACCCCTTAAATTACTGCAGCTTTTACATCAAATGTAATACCTGTGCCTTTTGAGGAACATGTTGAAGTCTGCTAAAGGCGTAACATTTTTAGTTTGTGAACTAGGGGTGTGCAGAAATATTGATCTATCGTATAGTTTAATGTGATGATACAGTATTTATATTGTGGGCTGCTGTATCGATATACCACCAAGAGTACTTTTTTTTTGTGTAAATTTTACAAAATTTTGTCTCAGTGCTATAGTTTTAGCAACAATATTTCTTTTTTAAACCACTATTTTTGCAAAGTTAATACGAAAGCCATCTATTTTACTCATCAAAACTGTGAATATGTCAATTGTATTGCATAAAGTTTCCTTCCACTAAATAAGCAACAAAATTATGGTGTGGGTAAAAAAAAAAAATTGGTAAAAAATGCCATATAACGATACTGTGTAATCAAACTTAGTATCATGATATTTTGATATTTTTGCACACCCTTGATGATAAAAACTTTTCTATCTCTCTTCAGTCCATTATAAACTCTCCGGTGAAGGCCACCCCTGTGGTCCCACCCAGCCCTCAAAAGGCCGAAGCCCCTTCTGTCCCACCATCGGCTCAGAGTCCTCAGAGGACCTCCAGGCTGGAGCTGTCCTCCAGTCCACTGAAGGAGACGCCCAAACCTGTTCCCCAGAGCCCCCTGAAGAACCAGCTCCCCTCCAGACCTCTGGGGGTGATGCCCAGTCCACACAAACCAGAGATCCGGGTCAAACCTGCTGATCTGAGCTCCAGTTATCCAGAGAAAACTGCTGGAACTCCCAGTAAGTTATGTTAAAATGCACAATCTTATTTAACAGTTTTTAATTGTTCTGAAACACATGGACAGCCAGGGAGGCACGTGAAGATTTGGGAGTTTTTTGTTTTTTGTTAATTTTTTATTGCAACGAGCTACAGCCTCCAGTTTATAAGATTGGAGTAGGAGATTGCTCAAGAACACAACAACAGTATGTGCTAATTTGCTAAAGCAATATTTGGATCAAATTTCTGTGTGGTTGGTAGTTGAATGCTTTGAAATACACCATGATTACTTTGTAAATATTTTAAAAAACTTTTGCCCAAAGTGGTCCGTTAACTTCTACGTACTGCCCTCAAAGTACTTTTAACAATTTACTCACATTTTAGTACAATTACATCAGAAAATGTCATTATTTATCCAAAGACAAATGTTGAGTATAATAATCTATACATAATTTCCCTGACCGTCTTGAATTCCTTGAAGGTGTGAAGTCTTTTCTGGAGCGCTTTGGAGAAAAATGCCAGGAGCGTTCCAACGGGAGCACTCCTGTAGCGGGCAGAAGTCAGCCAAAGACTCCCACAGTGACTTCAGCAGTGACCCCAAACACCAGGCTGGTCCAGGAGAAGCTCAGAGCCGCTCAGGCCGCCAAAACCACGTCTGCAGACCTCACCCAAAGACAGAAGATGGTGGGTTCATCTGGACAAATTTAGAGTGTTTGACAAATTATTTTACCCAATGTAAATCGTGTAAATCATATGAGAGGCTTGTTTAAGTGCATTAATCCTCTCACCTGTTGTAGTTCCATTTTAGTCAGCTCTTTCTGGTCATTTTGTGTTAGACTTAATCAGAGCTTTATTTTAACTTGAGCTTCTAACAGTAGTGCTTTCATTTACCTTCACACCCCCAGAGAATGTTGACGACAGCTGCAAAGTATCAATAAACTTATTCATAATTTCAGGAGCGCGAGTCGGAGCTGGCTCTCATACGAAACCGCTTCCAAAAGGCCAACAACATGTGGAAGAACAAGGACGAAGGGTCGGAAAAGACAATCACAGACACAGCGGTCCGTAAAGTCTCTAAAGTGATCACAGAACGTTGGATGTCTGTTTACAAAAAGGTTTAATGATTCTTTTTCTGTTGCATCAGAAACCAATGAGCACATCAGAGGAGAGTGAAGCGCCCTCCTGTCACTCAGATGAGCCAACAGCGCCCTCTGTTGACAAAAGTCAGAGCCCCATCAAAAGCATTCGATCAGGTACTTTGCATTACTTTTACACTACTTTTTAAGAGATTTTTTTGGGTGGAAAACACTGCATATTTGTAATTTAAGTTTATCACAATGTTTGGTAATTTACATAATATTTACATCAAATTTATGCGTCTGAAAATAATGTGATCGTCACTAAATCTTGACTTCCTTACAAGTGCCCTGTAGAGCTGGGTATCATTAAGAAATTGCCGATACGATACATACTTTGATGCAGTGCACTTTCGATTTGATACAATATATTTAAAATCGATTTGATACTGTTCATTAAAAAATAAAGGCTAAATCATGGTTGTGGCACTAAAAGTTTTTGTTAAACCACTTCTTGTGCAAACTTAATATGAGAAGACAAACATTTTAATCATTGAAAACAGTGAAAATGTCAAATGTGTCGCATAAACAAGTTTCCTTCTTCTAAACAAGCAACAAAACTGTAGCGCTGTAACAAAATAATTAAAACAATTGGTAAAATACACCAAAAAATACTCTTAGTGATATATCGATACAGCAGCCCACGATATCGATACTGCATCATCACATTAAACTGTACGATATATTGATATTTCGATATTTTTGCAAACCCCTAGTGCCCTGTTAAGTTGTAATTGTTTACCCAGCTACAGATTTTACATTAAAGCAACATTGCGTAACTTTCTACTGCTGGCACATCAACTGCTTGAATAAAACCATACTTAGGAACTTTCTCTATGGAGATGAGCTAAATCAGTTTTATGCCATAATGTGGGATATTACAGCAAAAGGAACAACATTTTTTCCTCCAGGAGTCGAGTAGAGATGCGAAAAATGAAACAGAAGATGCACACCAAAGTTCTTGTAGAGGTGCAAATGCAAGGAACAGCAAAATAAAAGTGAGAAAATGCACAGCACACTCAAATGGCTGATGCCCAAAAGGTTTTTTCATTTTTAAATAATGTTTCAGCATAAAAAGGCTTTGTCAGATATTTTTTTTGTGGTCCAAAGCAAGAAAAATATCTGTCTAAGGCATTCGTCATCTGAGTGTCCTATGCTATTTTTTCACTTTTATTGTAGAGATGCAAGTCCACTCGTTTAGGATGCATGTTTTTCTGTGTTTTTCAGAGCAATAAAACCACCCCAAAGAAACAGAATTTACTTATGTGTATTTTTAGCTAAAAAGTTATGCAGTGTGGCTTTAATTTGGTTAAATATTTTTGTATCGTTGACCACAGCAATTAGTACAAAGTGATGCGTGTTTGTTAATTTCATTAAAATTCCAACGTGTTTTAGGATTCCTGGATTCACCTCCAGCTTCAGCGTCCAGCCCTTTGAAATCAGTCAGCCAGATTATGGTAGAACCAGTCAGCGAAAGTCCAGAAGAAGAGAAGAAACGGGAAGAGGAAGTGAACGAAATCGAGATGAACGTGGACGGATCTTTGACCAGCGAGCAGAACGTGGACGGCTCCATCAACTCTGCCGTCATCAACGAGCTGTTCCAAGGCGTCCTGGAGCAGAGCGAGGAGCAGAGCACAGCTGATGATGAAGAGGAGGAGGAAGATCCCTCTGAACATCTCCTCCATGTCTCTGCTGGCTCCGCTGGTCGAGACTGTGGCGGCCGTCACAAAGAGTCCGGACGGGATGATGGTATAAAACACTTAAAATCTTTATCCGTCAAGCTCTCAAATGAAAAACTTAATCAAAAACAAGATTAAACCAGCACCAAAATCAGTCAAACTAAATGAAAGTCATGATTAAAACTGTTCTTCTTGAATATTTAAAGGCACAACACAAGATCTGAAAAGGGCAAAAATTTGCAAATTTAGCTTTGATTTTGTCCCACCCTGGTTTAGTCTTAAGATTTTTTATAGTTTGATCAGGAAATAACTTCATGATCAACAATATGTATTAGATTTTTTTTTTTCTTTATTCCACAGACCTCGACTCCAGCCAGCTCTTTCATCGTGAAGAGCCCTCTGGAGAAGACCCCCAGGACCAAACTGAGGAGGTCTCTTTCTTCAGACAGCATCCACGTCCTGAGCCCAGAGCACCGGCTGCCCTACAGGTACCGGCACGGAGACTTTCGGAGATGTCATACACGAAACCGCAGCTGTGAAATAACACGTGATTTCTTTTTTGTATATTAGCATTGACGCGTACAGATCCACCAGAGTGAAGGAAACCGACAGGCCGAGTATAAAGCAAGTGATCGTGAGGAAAGAGGATGTGTCCCAGAGAAAGGAGGAACCACGAGGCTCCAGTCTGTTCAGTGTGAAGCAGAGGATGAAGGTACAAGCTCTACAAACATCCAGTCAGAAAGGATTTGTCTCAAAGTCGTATTTAGCTTGATGATTTTAAGGGGAATAAAATTTAAATCCTAAATTCAACATTATTCAACAGGTTATCATTCATATATAACTGGTCTGGTTTTATCTCATTTTATTTTTCTTTTGCTGTGTAACCGAAAATATCATGTTGATTATTTATCAAAGCCGTTTTTATTTTTAAAAAAAGGCTATTTGACATTTTTAACCCAGCGTGTATGACCTTGAAGTTTAAATTTTTGCAGTTCTTGCAGGTACAGAGCAGTAGGCAGTAGGGCTGCGATATAGGCCACGATACAATACATATCTTGATACTGTGAACTTTCAATTTGATACGATATATTTCAAATTGATTTGATACGGTCAATAAAAAATAAAGGCTAAATCGTGGCTGTGATACTAAAAGTCTTTGTTAAACCACTTCTTGTACAAAGTTAATATGAAAAACAGTGAAAATGTCCAATGTGCTGCATAAACGGGTTTCCTTCCTCTAAACCAGACATTTCCAAACTATGGCCCAGGAGCCAAATGCGGCCCTCAGACCAAATTTTCTTGGCCCTCAGAACCCTAGGTGAACTGGCCCATATTTCCTCAAGCAGTAATTTTGAGTGAAAGTTCTGAACATCAAATATTTAGTGTGTCCTTTTTTAGGATCTAAGCTTGGATAAGTTTCCGGTGTCTCATTCTAACCTGTTTATAAATGGGCATATTTCAATTATTCACTGTAATAACCATCAGTCTATGGACCTAAATCGGCCCTGCGCTTTGTCTAGGTTTAGATATGTGGCCCTTAATGAGGAAATTTTAGATACCCTTGCTCTAAACAAGCAACAAAACTGTAGCTGTAACAAAATAATTTCGTAAAATATACAAAAAAATACTCTTGGCGATATATTGATACAGCAGCCCACGATATTAATACTGTATCATCACATTAAACGATACGATATATTGATATTTTGACATTTTTGAACACCCCTAGTAGGCAGAGAGTGGGAGTAGGTGAACGAAAAATTACTCAAACATGCATGAACTAAGAACACTGCAAGTCTTGAGTAGTTATAGAAGTGTTCCCTTATCTTTAAGTTTTTACATAATGTATAAATGGATTCATCTTGACAAACTATTCATTTGAAATACATTCTACGTTCAGTTTCCTTTTTAAGGGTTAATGTTGTTTCAGATTTTGACCAATGAGATGAACCTGCAGCAGACGGTGATCCACCAGGCGAGTCAGGCTCTGAACTGCTGCACCGACGAGGAGCACGGAAAAGGTTCTCAGGTCGAGGCCGAGGCCGAGAGGCTGCTGCTGGTGGCAAGTGAGTCCAGCAAAACTAATACTGTAGACAGACTGTATAAAGAAATGGACTGTGGGAGTGTGATGTCACCCACAGCGTTCAGCTCCAGTCAAATGAAGCTCACGAGGATAGTAGATATAGGAGTTCCATATTAGCAGTAGGAATTTATTTATGGATAGTGAAATAGCGAAATAAAAACACCAGGATCGTGTAGAGTAGTTTAATACGAACATCTTTGTAAAGTCAATTGGATTCAGAGTTGATGGAGCCGAAAGCGCCCACATGAAAAATCAGATCTACACTGGGTTGTCAAAAATAAATACTCTGATCCTAACCAAAACTAAAACTAGTGTTGTATCAAAACAATTAAACTCATTTAAACAAGTACCAATCCTAAAATGAATCACTTACATAGGGCAATATTCAGGGTATTCTACAGTCATGGAAATTGAAAATGTCATTTTCCAGGCCTGGAAAAGTCATGGAATTTTAGTATTTCTTCCACGCAATTTCGGCGTTATTAAGTTCTCTTTACACTATTATAATTATTTCCGAACATATGCGCTTTTTGTTTAAAAGAGACGACAATAAATGCACTGACGGTATTTTGAATGTTAAAAACCTATAATCCTAAACCATCAGGTGAGTGGAAGGGGTTAACATTTCATATTTAGAAAAGTCTGATCAATTGTACACATATAGGTGCCGTAAAGTCATGGAAAATTCACTTTAGGTCATGAAAAAGTCATGGAAGAGTGGGAACCCTGGTAATATTCCATGATATTAAAGATCCAATATTACACCAAACTGACTCTTGTGAGCTTTAACCTTTACAAACTGTTCATTTCTTAAGCCGTCACAGTATGATTCAGGTCAAATTTGACTCAGACCAAGAATTCAGTCATAGAAACTTACCAAATTTTGAACTACAGATCTATTTAGAATGTCTAAATAGATTATCCCACATGAATAAATATATGTAATACATAAATATGTGTCATGGGAAATTCACTTTAGGTCTTGAAAAAGTCACGGAAAAGTTTTGAAATTTTGTCAGTAAAAAAGAGAGGGAACCCTGAATATTGAGCCTTTTTCTTTTTTAGAGTTTTAGAAGTTTTGATCTACATACACTGCCATTCAAAAGTTTGGTCACACCATCTCATTATGTTTTTTTGTTGTTGTTTGTTTACTACTTTTATTTTAGTTTTTTCTTTACCAAATTCCATATATCTTACAGAAGACATGAAATATGACTTATGTATTTATATTAAATGTAGAAAGCTGTAAACACTTAGAAAAAAACAGTGAATGAGAGAGTGAGTCCAAGCTTTTTAGTAGTGCATATAAGAGCGAGAATTGAGTGGAGGCGAAACTACTCTTGAATATGTGAAGATATGAAAAGATGTATGTATGTAATATGAAAGAAAAATGCCAGATATCAAAAGTGAACACTATTTTAACTATAATCTAACTGTTTCAGCGGAGAAGCGTGAGGCTCTGAAGGCTGAGCTGGACCGTCTCAAAGGGGACCCGTCCGGACAGAAGAGGGCGCCAGGTCCAGCAGACTCCACCGGACTGTCTGCCACCCGCGGCTCTATCACCCTGCACGAGCTCAGACTGCCGCTCAAAGCTGATTTCGTCTGCTCCACCGCCAACAAACCTGGTAAGAGACGGTTTTAAATATGTATGCGTCGTAATCTGGTCAGTGACAATAGACGATAATATTGAAACCAAAGCATAAAGCAGAATTAGCCACAAAAAGTTTTCTTAATGTCCAATATTGTTAAAAAAAAACATGAGTTGTAATAAATAAACAACAGATTTCAACACTTTAGTAGTTAATTTGTGTCATAATGAGTCATAGACGTTCAAAATTTAACACTCTAAAGCTCAAATCTCATTGTACAACATAAAAATAACCAACATTTTCCCACTAGTACAAAAAAAAAGTCCATGATAAAAAATGTTATCCCCTAAAAATATTGTTCCACCTCATGTATTGAATGATACTTGATGTAGTAATTATCATGACAGACCTATCTGAAATCTGTCATCAAGTCTTTTACTTCACTGCAGCAAATTACAATAACAGTTGTTTATCTGCGTCAATTTAACATGGGAAAACTTGTATAAAATATGTATATAATAATAGAATTGTACGCATCTGTATTAAATATGCTGTTAAAGCTATTTTCACTTTATGTGCTGGTATTTTGTTGAAATACTTGATACAATTCTCCATGCGTTCAGGGATTTCCAACCTGTAGCTCGCCAAGGGATTTCTGAATTATATGTATTGTACTTAATAACTAAAACATGATTATTTACCGTTGTAAATGTGTTATTTTGATACCTAACTTGTGCACTAATAAACGGATAATTGTTTATGTTTAATATGCATCTAATTGTACCCCGTCCAAAGCATGCCATTGCTCGTTTCTCAGTTTCTTGTGGCAGCTAAAATTAGTTAGTGCCTCCGCTCAATTTCATTTCTCTCCAGCGACTAGGTCAGGAATCAGAATACAATAGACGGTTTGCAAAAACACCAGAAGTGCAAGTTCGGGCACCAGCCAATCAGCGAAGACTCATACATTCAGTGTTATCAACGATTCCAGAGATCGAGGATTTAAAGCTGGAAAGAGAATGTTTGGTGAATTTTATCAAGGGGAAAGACATTATTGTCCTTCTTCCTACGGGATTTGGGAAAAGCTTAATATACCATTTAGCCCCGTTAGCACCGCATTACATACGTCACGACCAAATTGCAGCGATTGGTTAAATGACAAAACGTACCCGCCTACCGTCGACCAAACTAATTCCAACGCTGCGAGGTCAGATGGTTTCTACGAAGTGAAACTGGCTGATGAATCAGGCTAAAAATGAGTAGCTCTCTGGAATTTTCATGAAGGTAGCTCACCGGAAGCAAAAGGTTGGAGGCCCCTGAATTAGATCTTTTGAATAATGAAAGGCCCTGAAAATGTCACTCATAACAGTATAACTATAATACTATATAATAATATACCATGCTCTGATACAGGACATTTTAGTTTTTTTTTTTCATTATTCAAGTTTTGTTTTAGTGGAATAGATGATGTAATACAAGATGTTATTGTTTTTCTTTTGCCTTTACAGAAGCCAGCAGTAAGCACTCGTTCTTTGTGATGATCCGAGCCGGAGCAGAGAACACCGTGGCCACTCCTTTAGCGAGCACACACAGAGGACTGAGCGGAGACACTCTCACCTTCCCCACTAAATTCACCATGTAAGTAAAGTAGCACTAAAGCAGCATAAACATGCCCTATCACCTCAACAGCTGATACATGATCTCAGCACTACCACCGGCTCACTGTGTTTCTTTGTAGGGCCGACGTCTCCAGTGACTTTCAAATTATGATTGAGGTGTACTGTCTGGTAAGTGGCTCCTCTGTGCTTATTTTATTTACAGGGTTCCCACGGTCATGGAAATCCTGGAAAAGTCGTGGAAATTTTAGTATCTCTTTCACACAACTACATCGTTCTGTTAAGTTTTCATTATTATAATTATTGCTGAACATTTGCGCCTTTTGTTTAAAAGAGACAACAATAAATGCACTGACAGTATTTTGAATGTTAAACTATAATACCAAACCATAAGGTGAGTGGAAAGGGTTAACATTTCATATTTAGCCCTAAAAGTCTGATCAATTCATTACACAGGTCTCCAGAAAGAACAGTTAATAGATAAGGTCAGTTAAATACAATCAATCAATGAACCTGCCCAGGAGCTACAGGTGGAAATTGGCACTGGAGCTACAATCTGGTACATTACATCTCTACTGTTAAGGTGAATGTAAAAATTGTGCGCTGTCTCTGTCTTAATAAAATAAATAAATAAATTCTACACATGTAGGGTGCCGTAAAATCATGAAAAACTCACTTAACAGGGTAGCCACAGGGTCTTAAAAGTCTTAAATTCACTGTTCCTAAATTAAGGCCTTAAAAAGTCTTAAATTATGTTGTCCAAGTCTTATATTTTTCCACAAAGGGCTTAAATTTCATTAGCCTATTTTTTGTCCACTCATCCGGGCTGCAGTGTGATGTTAAACGGAGGGAGGGAAAAAAAAAGAATGAAATGAACGTCGAATTTGGAGTCTGCACAAACAATACTTTGGTTCCTGACGCTGGCAGCAATGAGTAAACAATCAGTCGAGTGGAGGAAGACGTTGGATGGATCACAGTGGCTCTTAGATTCTAGATATAGTAGTTGGTTGGTCAGAATTTAATCTGGTGTTTTTCGCCCACATAAATGAAAATTAAGACCAACATCGCACCCATTAAGTGGACTTAAAAACATCTTAAATTTGGAGTACCGTATTTTCCGGGCTCTGGATTATAAAACGCACTGTCATTAAATGGTCTATTTTCGAACTTTTTTCACAAATAAACAGCACCGGACTTTAAACGAAACACAACAGTTGGATGGGTCAGTGGGACTTTGTTTGTGGCGTTCACGGTGACTCTGGGCTTTGTTCAGTTGTGGCGTGTAGGGAGGGTGCTGTCTGGGGCCGCTGGATTGTCGGCGTGTTCGCAGTGACTCAGTTGTTCAGTCGTGTCTAGAAGTGGCACATTGCACTCTCTTTTTCGGTTCGTTTGTTCGTTCTGTTCCTCGTCGGCGTGGAGTGATGAGTGTGTCTGTGGGTGTTTTTCGCTGTGCGGTCACTGTCTGCTCCGTGTGTGTTTGTGTGTTCTGTGGGTGGTGCGACTTTATAGTTTACTGAAGTCGTGCTGGGACACCCGAGTGGATTTGTGTATGGGGCGCTCTGGATTGCAGGGCGCACAGTCATTTTTTGATGCGGTTAGAGGCTTAAGAGCGCGCCCTATAGCCCAGAAAATACGGTAGTCAAACCTGGGGATACCCGCTTTAGATCATGGAAAAGTTTTGAAATTTTGTCAGTGAAAAAGAGTGGGAACCCTGTATTTATTTAACCTTTTATACCACCAGCCAAAACATTATTTTATACATAATAATTTTCAGATTAATATAAATATCAAGATCATTTCTAGTCTTTAAAAACCTGTACTGTTTTCAGGTCCAGAAGAGAGAGATGTGCGCTGACAAGAAGAAGAAAATCAACAAGTCAAAGGTAAACGGCTCCATTTGCTTTCTGTTGGTTTACGACTCAAGTCAAAGAGCTCCTAAATAATTCTGTTACCCCGGTGTGTCGTGTTCAGATTGTGTGGCAGCAAGTTTACGAGGCCCATGATTTGTGTATGTCGGTATGAACTGTCAGCTCAGTCCCACGGGTGCCGGGGGAGAGCACTGCATTATGGGAGCGAGGGGGTTACACAGATCTGGGTCTTTTAATAGTTAATGATTGATTCACTTGGTGTCATGGCTTTCTAAAGGTTTAAAACGGAGGATAGGCTGTAGCTTTACGGCAGAATTTGCTGGGGAACGGTACATTTTGCAGATATTTCAAAAGGTGTAAAAATTATTTCACTATATCATCAAAACGTTTGTGTAATCCCTCAGTCGTCCAAGTAGGATCCAAACAAGAAAATCAGTTTTTGTCAATCATTTATCATACGTTTCGCAGCTCATTCAAGCTTCTTCGGTTTACAGATATGTTTTAGATTTTCTGTTTTTATTTTTCATATGTTTTACTTTAATATTTTAGAAATGTGAACCTATTTTTTTCTTTCTGTAGGCTATCACTCCAAAGAGATTCCTTGCCATCACGAAAAGTGGGCAGACACCAGGTATGTACACAATCTTTTTAAGTTTCTTATTTAAAGGGCCCATCTCATGCAAAATCAACTTTTCAGAGCTTTCTACCTTCAAAGAGTGATGTGTGGGCCTTGTATATGTCACCTAAGTGTTTTTTAGATTGATTTGGTGTTTTTTTTTTTAAACAAATTGCAGCGTATTTCTGCCACCCTCCCACGTGGCAATGAACTAAAGCTGCTACAACGATGACGCGGCAGCTACACCTATGACGCGTTTGACGTAGCAGAAAGCGCTTCACCCTCGCCCCCATTCCACGCTCCTCCGCCTCCGCCTCGCATCGGCTGACAATTCCCACATGAACACCTAAACAAAAGCGACAGCATAAGCTCATTGTTCTACACTGCGGGGTCCACAATATAATAAGTTTATCTACTAGTGTTTATTAATACTTTGCCAATCAGTAATGTTCAGCTGATGTCGACGCGGTGCTTGAGCTTCGTGCACCTCAAAGTCCTCGTCCGATTCCGGGTCCAACACATAATAAGGCTGAACGCTGTATAAAAGTTTATTCCTACCACTATCAGGGTGCACGCCTGTCTCCCCCTCCCTCCCTGAGATGGGCGGAGGAAGGGCGGCTCGCTCAGATAAGCAATAGTCGACCTTTTATAGTTCCTGGTGTGTAACTGCCTCCAAGAAATCAGTAAGATTTCGTAACTAACTATTGTGTAATGGATGTTCCAAAACCCAAATTGTGCTTGTATATGTGCAGAAGATACAATGTGAAAAGAGTTATTTTACTTTTATTACTTTTAAACAAATGTATTTTCAGAAGTAGCCTATGCTTTTCTCTGTTCCAGTTGTTGCCAGTCCTGGGGGTCCAAACGCCGTCCGGACCAGTAACTTTATCCTGGTGGGGTCTCACAAAATCACCCTCTCCTCCATCGGGAAGAACAAGTTTCCTCTGGAGAAGGTAATAAAATGTTACTTGGTTAATCTTCTATCCGACGTGCTTTTGTGCGTATTCAATCGAAAGTCGCTGTTTGCTTAATTAAAATGCAAATTGTATAAACTTTGCCCATGTGTGTCCCAAAATGTGTACGAGGTCGTTGTCTTCAGTCTCTGCTCGCTGCTTTCACTGATAATGATTTTATAGACAATTTAATAAGTCAGGTTTTCATTTTTGTTTCTGGTTAAATTTACATTACTCTTTCAAAATCACACTTAGATGTTTTTTGGACATAAAAATTGTCCTTCTTATGTCTTTAAACTGTGTTTTCTATAAGTTTATACTCAGACTATAGTGGCACAGGAGATCCCTATTTGAATCATTTTATTTTATACAATATTTTGGTGTATAAATGCCACTTATTGCCTTTAATGAACAAAAAAGAACTGATATAGATTAAAAATGGTCACTTATATATGCTTTTAATAATACTACATTTTTAGAATCCTTTGTGTTACCTTTTTTTTTTTTTTTGGCTCAGTTTTTAGACTATGAGCCTGAAAATTAGACTATGGAGGGCCTCCTCAGTGCTTTTAGTCTGTGTTTTTGAGTTTGTATTAACCATTTCACAAGTCAGTTGGTCACGATTATTCCAATTACTCTTTGCTGCTCTGTTTTTTACGATTCCTTGGTAAAATGCAGTGTATTCAACCAGGTTTTAAATAATTTTTTTTTAAATAATTTTGCACCTTCTTTTACACCATTTTGCTTCACACATGCCTAAAACTCCGTACTGCTTCTTTCCTGCTTCTCTAGGATCCTTTTTCTCTCTTGTCTCTAATTATGACAACAGAAAATTGGCCGGCTCTTTCTCCCACAGTAATTTATGCGTTCACTTTATTTTTGTTTTAGATCAAATGTGAAGGAATTGAGAGAGAGCTTCTCGGTGACACTTTTCTTAACCAGGTTACTGCTCCCTTCACTGTTGGCTGGTGCTTTGGGGAATGCGCTGGGGCCACTAACCAAATCTTTGCACATTAACACTAACTTTAACTGATACAGAGTGGCTTGATTCTGCTTTTGAACTGAGCTTGCGTAACTTTTGTTTGATTAAACCCAGAATTGTAACGAACATTTGATCAATTTGCTGACTAAACCACTTCCTGATCCAGGTGCCCTTCCTCTGCCCCCTGGAGGGTCACATCTACATGAAGCTGCAGTGTGAGGTGGGCTCCAATGTGGAAGAGAGGGGCTTCCTGGTGAGTGTCAAATAATCAAAGCTACTTATTCGGATGTATTTGTCTGAGCAGAGTATTGATGTTTGTAATGTTCCACAGACCATGTTTGAGGACGTGAGTGGGTTCGGAGCGTGGCACAGGAGGTGGTGTGTCCTCTCTGGGTACTGCATCTCCTACTGGACCTATCCCGACGATGAGAGGAGAAAGGTGAGATTAACATTCTTATTAAGTTTAAGTTTATCATGGCTCTGGTATAGACCCGGTTTAAACTTGGAGTTAAGTTCTTTATATTCCCTGGTTTTGTTAAGTTTCTGGCTTGGCCTTAATTTAACTGGTGACACTGGCCGTTGGGAAAGTTATACTCCCCAGTCTTTTGTTTATATCTATTCATTTTTCCCTTTTTTTTTGGGTTAATTTTATATTTTAATGCTTTATATTTTCTGTACAGCTGGTACATTTTTTAAATGTTTGTCAATAGCAGTACTAGTGATACACATTTTACAAAATAATTGTACCTAATGTTCATTATTTCAATTATTAATTTAGTTTTTGGCATAAAAAGGCCTTTTATAGTACCCAGTCCAAAGTTTTTCATTTTTTAATAGGCAACAAATTGGATGATGTCAATACTAGGGATGTAAAAATATCCAAGTCTCACGATACGATATCATCACAGTATGAACCTCACAGTATGATATTTAGAGTATTGCGATATTTTGCGGAGGCTAATATGCTACTTTTTCCTCTTAAAATGCCTTGACAAGAGTTAATCCAAAGAAATAAGACTTAAAAGTGCTTAGAACTGTTATTCCTTCTTGTAGTCTACACTGAACTAGAGCAAAGGATCATGGCCTATGTAGTTCCCTCTGTCTTTTTTTTTTTTTTTTTTGTTAGCTATTGCTGCACCATAACTCTTAATTTAAGCAAAGAGACTTGAAATTCGATATATTGTGATGGTCCATGACGATACGATATCACGATATTTCGGTTATTGTTACATCCCTTGTCAATATAAATCATTTTGTTTAAGTCCTTCGTGTCTGTTCCTTCAGAGTCCCATTGGCCGCATTAATCTGGCCAACTGCACGAGTAAGAAGGTGGAGCCGGCGAACCGCGAGTTCTGCGCCAGACCAAACACGTTTGAGTTGATCACAGTGAGACCCCAGAGAGAAGACGACAGAGAGACGCTGGTCAGCCAGTGCATGAACACCATGTGTGTCACCAAGTGAGTAGAGCACAGGCACAGGGGGCTGGGATCACAGGGAATCATTATACATCTCCGCCCATTTCCGCACATATGCAAAGTATCACATTGCTCACACAGACCAAACCATTTACCACAAGTTGATTTAGAAATAACTTTAAATTTTTTGTGGCTCTACAGAAACTGGCTGAGCGCAGACACGAAAGACGAGAGGAACTTGTGGATGAAGAAACTGAATCAGATTTTGGTGGATTTACGAATGTGGCAGCCCGACTCCTGCTTTAAGCCTTCATAAACCCCCAGCCCTGCTTTTGGACTGTTCAATACCAACACATGCAATTACGAAGTGCAATACCACATGACGACTGTTTAATATTTTAACTTTGGATTATTATTATTTTACCTTACACATTAACCGCAAATATATCTTGGGAGTAAGCAAATAAAGCCATACATTGAAACATTTCAGTATTTTGTGAAGTCTGAGGGCAGATTTTCAGCAAATAATGATCACAGTTGTCGGCGTGCAAGCAATTTAATATGAATGCAGACGAGTATGCATGGCTTTGACTATTATGAAACCTGATATTTGTGTGTAAATGGTTTTGAATTTGCTAATAAGAATTTTAATATGATTCACAACTGCTGTATATTTTATCCTGCATGGCGGCATGGCTGACAGCACAAGTTTTAGCTAATTATAATTGATGTTTACGGATTTCGGCAGGACTTTTGATACAAACCTGTTCTTCCAGTTTGAATTTGCTATGTCTGTCGTGTTTTTCTGTGTCGTTTACTTGTCACTGGGCAGGTCTGTTGCAGGCTATAGTTTTATTTTTGACACTAAATGCAAATTGATTTATACAGTAACACTTTCTTCCATAGACAGTATATAAAAATGGACATAACGTGCAAGGAAGTGAGCATTGGGCTCCTTCAAATCTGGCTCCAATTGACTTTATATTGGAAAATTGTCACCCCTCTCTTCCAACTACTGCAGTGAGCCTCGTCGTTTTGCTCTTAAAATGTTCATATTAACCCGCTCTACATGATCCTGGTGTTTTTATTTCACCATTTTGTCTGTAAATAAATTCCCATTCCTAACCTGGTTCCTATAACTGCAGCCTCGATGAGCTTTATTTGACTGGAGCCGAACGTCTGTCCCTCAGTCCACTTCTTTATACAGTCTATGGAACTGAGATTTCTATAATATTTTTTTGTTTTGGTCACAAACTGCAGTGGAAGTTACTCAGAACCCCTGCAATGGACTTGAACCTGTCTTTTTGCTCTGATTTTAAATGTTTTTCACTTGTGAAGATAAAAGATGGCGGACTTTATGCTTGTTGATGAATACAATTTCCTTATGTCTATTCACAAGTTTATACATTTCAATTTGCCAGGTATTGTTAACACTGAGCAACAATAAATACCTGCTTTGGAATGCAATTGGCAACCTATGTTTTTAATGTTACTACTTTCTACACTTTTTAATGGAACTAATTGTGAATGATTAAAGTCTAAATTAAATCTATGACATCCTATTTACAAGATTTTAAGTAGTGGTCAATCATTTTATGTTACGAGAACATGTCATTTCAGGGAAGGTGGAAGTGTCTTGGCAAAGAAAATGTCTATAAGAAAACATTGGAGGGATTAATCAAAGTGTAAAGCTATTATTAATTATACAACTATCTAAAAGTTATAAGGAATTGTAAGCAATCATGCAAAAAACTGTTGGAATCATGAAACAGTTCCTATAGTTAGGCTGACCAGACATTCCCATTTACCAGCGACAGTCACAGATTTGAGCCCTGTGTCCCCTCTCCAAGCAGATATTTTATAATTTTTTTATTTATTTTTTTTATTAATCATTGCATTTATATTTATTTATTTGAGACAGAGCACAATTTTTGCATAAACCTTAACAGGAGAGATGCATTGTACATCAGGTTGTAGCGTCAGTGCTAATTTCCACCTGTTGTCCCTGGACAGGTTCATTGATTGATTGTATTTTAACTGACCTTGGTAAATGGTCACATTTTTCTATGGCACTCAAAGCACTTTACAACAAGGAACCACTCACCCATTCATACACCAGGGTATGCAGACACTGGGGGCAAGGTGGGTTAAGTGTCTTGCCCAAGGACACAACGACAGCATTCATCTGTGGGAGCTGGAATCACACCAGTCAAACTGTGGGTCAGTGGATCTGACCACTCAACTGATGATGTTTATGTCAAGAGTGGGATTTGAACCACCAACCTTCAGACCAGTGGACAAAAGCTCTACAAACTGAGCTACTGCTGACCTTGGCTATCAACCGTTCTTGGAGACCTATGTAGCATGTTTTTGGGTTGAGCACCTTTCAAGATACCCAAAGCACTTCACAGTTCATTAATTATTCACTCAGTGACAGTAAGCTACGACTATAGCCACAGCTGCCCCAGGGCAGACTGCCAATCTGCACCACTGGCCCCTCCTACCACCACCATCACTCACGCACGGTGTTGGGGAGTAACAGATTACATGTACCAGAGTTACATAATCAGAGTACAAATTATGAGTAACTGTATTCAGTTACAGTTACTGTTTCCATGAGTGGTAATTGGATTACAGTTACTTTGTTGAAATAAATGGATTACATGGTGGTATTTTCCTGTTTTCACATTTTGGGCTAAACCAGGACTAAAATCAGGACTAAACCAGGTCTAAACCAGGACTAAACCAGGTCTAAACCAAGAATAAATCAGGTCTAAACCAGGTCTAAACCAGGACTAAACCAGGACTAAACCGGGACTAAACCATGTTGTGCGGACCATGTCTCCTCGTCTTCTATCAATAATATTTTTAATTTGGTTCAGTAAAGTCTGGGCTTTTTATTTTCTTTTATCAGACAAAACATCTTATGTGAAGATTTCCTCATCTTTGCTTCTCTACAGCAAATCAAGTAATTCAAAGTATTCAGATTACATTACTCACTTTAAGTAATTTAATGGATTCTGTTACAAACTACATTTTGGGGTTTGTAATCTGTAATCTGTAGGGGAATACATTTTAAAAGTAACCTTCCCAACACCGCTCACGCTACTTCATATGAGGCAAAGTGGGTGAAGTGTCTTGCCTGAGGGCACAATGATAGTTTTTGTCACTGGCGCCCCCCTGTGGCTCCTGATTTTCCCAGTGTCTCCCACCCAAGTACTAACCAGGCCCGGCCATGCTTAGCTTCAGAGATCTGACAAGATCAGGCTTTGACGAGCCGGTGTGGCCACACGATACCGGTCTTATCCAAAACCAGTGATTTGTCCCAGTTTTACTCAAGAAATGTCCCACGTGTCCCTATTTTTTACCCATTTGATCCCCTGCTAACAGTAAGAGAGGCATATGCCGCGCTTCCGGGTTTCGCGCTAATATAGTTTCCTAATTGGGCGGCCACGGTCACATGATCGGACGCACGCAAAGAGACGCAAAAAGAGACTTGTCATTTGTATACGTAAAATACAGAAAATCTACTTAAAAATGACCAAAACACAAAGAAAATATAACTATACTGTGGCAAGTTGGTCATGAATGGTTTCTGCATAACAGTTTTGTTTAATTAAGCACTCAAAGCTTTTATTATTCTTTTATTTCTTTTTTTTTTAAATTCTTTTATTATCTCTCTTTTATTATCTCCCCTTTATTCTTTTATTATCACAATTTTATTATTACCAACCACCAAAAACCTGGAATGTCACAGTTTTTTATCCTGAAATTCAGGTCTACTGTAGTGCATATCAACAGAATTAGCAAATCAAAGATCTTAACTGTGATCCTTCCTTAATAGTTGGTGCATATTTAAATTACAATCACAAAGATTATTTTATTGAATAACTGGCCTAAAATGCACGAACAAAACTGTCAAGCTGATGTAACATTACCAGTATCAAACCACTGTATCAAGTTAACGGCGACTCATTTAAACACTTCCGATCAAGGTGTAGGAAAATACAACTATAATAACTTTACGCCACAAATGAATTATTATATGATTATTTTGTTTACTCAGATTTTAAAACTAACACATAAACATTGTAAAATTGATACAAAGTTAGTATTTGTTGTCAATTTTAGACACATGTAAGGGAGAGGTTTTATTATGAATGGACTTTTTCACTTCCGGTTAGTTTGACTGATAAATATAAACTTTACGTGCGTGTAGCTTTATCTACATGCTTCCTGATACCGCATTAAGATTCTTCATCACCATAACCGACTGTACAGTTACCGGTAAGTTTCCGTTCAGTGGCTTGACATTAAGTTGTAGCTAAGTTACAGACTTTCTGTTAGCCGATCGAACTGTAAATGAATTGAAATACTAAAGTCACGTTTATGTCTCCCACTGATCACTCAGATACATTAATTCTAGTTTCAACCGAATGTAAAATGTTTTATCGTTAAAAATGCTAATAGACATCTATGTCGAATAAAAATAATATTTATTAAAAATATTTAAGATGCTTACAGCAGGTAATTTTCTACAATTTATTAATAGTAATTTATAAAGAATAAAAAGTCTGGGGGAAAAAAAGTCTGATTTTCAAGGCCACGTGGTGCTAATGTACCATGGGTAAGGCATCTGATCTGTGAATGTCGGTAATCCTGTCTGTCGTAAACTTGGTGCGCCCCAAACTATTACAGTGACATCCCAAAAAGTTAATTTGCATGTCAAAGCATGTTTTGGGATGTTTTAGGTGTTACCGCATCTCACCAGATGGAAAAGGTTTAAGGTTTTAGTGACATACTTCCTTTGCCAAATCAGTGGGCAGTGGGGCAGGGAGTGGGTACTTGAATGACTTTCCTGGCACACAGATGAAATGTCAGGGCACCGTGGCCTACATTTAAATCTTGCATCTTGCTTGATTCAGGCTATTTATTAACATAACCAGGGTCACCAGGTTTATCTAAGACCAGTGGTTTGTCCCTATTTTATACAAAACATGTCCCAGTGGTCCCTGTTTTTGACCAATTTGATCCCCACTGACAGTAAAGAGGAGGATATATTGTAATTTGTTTAGCTAAAATACAGAAAACTGTACTTGAAAACGACCATAAAGCAAAAAAAATGCACGAACCCTTAGATTGACCCGTGACCCTTAGATTTTACTGACCCACAAGTGAGTCGAGAATGTTATGTGGTCTTTTCACAATTTTATTTTTATCAAACATCCCCACCCGGGTGTGTCCCAGTTTTCATGATTTTATTATGGGAAATTAAATTTGTATTAGAACACTTTGTACACTTTGAATTGTACAAATAACACAAATAAGGATCATGAGTTGCTGTAAAGTTTAAACCAATACTCAGCTTTTACTATAGTCATTATCCCACCACTGCTCATACACTACAAACATAATAATTTGTATTTGTACATATACAAATGTATAATTATGTCTTATTTGACACCAGTCTTTTGCTATTTTTGCTACTTATTTTGAACTTATCAATAATTATATGTTTGCTCTTTCTCAAATGGGGTTGAGTATCATTAAGAAGTTGCTGATAAGATACATAGGCCACGATGCATATCTCGATAAAGTGCACTTTCGATTCGATACAATATATTTCAAATCGATTTGATACGGTTCAATAAAAAATAAAGGCTAAATCATGGCTGTGATATTAAAAGTCTTTGTTAAACCACTTCTTGTGCAAAGTTCATATGAAACACAAACATTTTAATCATCAAAACAGTGAAAATGTCAAATGTGTCGCATAAACGAGTTTCCTTCCTCTTACAACGCTACAGTTTTGTTGCTTGTTAACAAAATAATTAAAATTTATTTAAGATATACCAAAAAATACTCTTGGCGATGTACCGATACAGCAGCCCACGATATCAATACTGTATCATCACATTAAACAATATGATATTTTGATATTTTTGCACACCCGTATTCTCAAATAATTTCCCCCTGTGGATCAATAAAGTTTGTCTACTATTAACCCACTATCGCCCTTAGAGGATTAATTAATTGAACTGAAGCATTTTAAATTTAGTTGCAATAATGATTTTCTATAATTTCCTTTTTGTCCCCAGTTAACCCTTTGATTCGTAGCCATGTGTGGAATCTGGGCGCTGTTTGGCAGTGATGAGTGCCTGTCCGTACAGTGCACAAACGCCATGAAGATCGCCCACAGAGGACCAGATGCCTTTCGCTTCGAGAATGTCAACGACTTCACCAACTGCTGCTTCGGCTTCCACCGCCTCGCCATCGTGGACCAGCTGTACGGCATGCAGCCACTGCGAATCAAGAAGTTCCCCTACCTCTGGCTCTGCTACAACGGAGAGATCTACAACCACCTCACAGTATGTCCCAGCACGGTCAAAGTCGTAGAAACCTCAAAACATGGATGAGAAACTTCACTATGCAATTTCAATCCATTTTATTTATATAGCACATTTTATCACAATTCTCGAAGTGCTAGACAGACAAATTAAGACAGAAAAAGACAGTAAATCATAAATAAAAACAATGCCAAAGATTTTTAAAACTATGAAATTAAAGCCACTTAAATAAAAATGAATAACAAGCGCAATCAAAGAGAGCAACCTGGTCCCCCATGAGGCATCAGTGGGGTCAGTTCATCACCACAGAAGCAGCTTATGAGGAGCCCAGCCCATATTACATGATCTTTATGTCCACTATGGAATGTGTGTGTCTGTACAGGCCCATGAACATTTGTGTGATATTGGTCACACATAAGAATGTTTGTGTCCATATTTGTTAGTTGTGTGAGTGTAGATCAGTGTGTTGTGTATCACCAGAAAAAGAAGAAATGGGAATTATTTTCGTTCCAATTAAAACGGCATACACTCAAAGAGAAAGGAACTGTTATAATTAGTGATTATCTCAAAAACTATTAATATTTTACTATACAAATGCATAGAATTATTAATAGATAATAATTTTTCGGAGATTTTGAGACCACTCCCGTTGCTCTAGCTTGATCCTTCATGGAGTTATGACCAAAAACGTATATTTGGCCTTGGTTACCTTGACCTTCAAGTGACCATGACCGGTTTTAACCTGTAACATCCAGTGTACCGTATTTTCTGGGCTATTAGGCACTCTGGATTATAAGGCGCACTGTCATTAAATGGTCTATTTTCTAACTTTTTTTCACAAATAAACGGCACTGGACTTTAAACGAAACACAACAGTTGGATGAGTCAGTGGGACTTTGTTTGGGGTGTTCACGGTGACTCTGGGCTTTGTTCAGTTGTGGTGTGTAGGGAGGGTGCTGTCTGGGACCGCTGGATTGTCGGCGTGTTCGCAGTGACTCAGTTGTGTCTAGAAGTGGCACATTGCACTCACTCTTCCGTTCATTCCTCTGTTCCGTTCCTCGTCGGCGTGGAGTGATGAGTGTGGCTGTGGGTGTTTTTCGCTGTGCGGTCACTGTCCGCTCTGTGCATGTTTGCGTGCGCTGTGGGTGGTGCGGCTACAGAGCAGTGGGTGTGTACTGCTAGAATACAAATTTATTGGCAAAAGGGCGTCTTGAAAATAAGTGATTAAAGATTTTTAAACAAGCACAAATCAGTGAACTGGTGTGGATGAACAACTATACATGTATATAATTAAAAGCTCTGAAAAGTTGATTTTGCATAATAGGGCTGCTGTAAAGTTTATTGTGAGAAAGTCTTCAAAATATATCCTAATGAATGTTTTCCACCACCCACAGCTGAAGAAGCAGTTTGACTTCGAGCACCAGACCCGTATGGACGGGGAGGTGTTGCTTCACCTGTACAGCCAGTTCGGGGCGCAGAAGATGGCCTCTCTGTTGGACGGGGTCTTCGCCTTCATCCTTCTGGACACGGCCAACCGCAAAGTCTGCATCGGACGAGACACGTACGGAGTCAGACCCCTCTTCAAACTGCTCACCGATGATGGGTTCCTGGCTGTCTGCTCCGAAGCCAAAGGTGACAATGGAAAGAAGGTTCTGGGTTTGATTCTATCTGTGTGGAGTTAGTATGGTCGCCCCGTGTCCAATTTCCCCCAAAACATGCACCATAGGTAAAATTCTCCAGCTATAAGGTGACTTGCAACAAGCTTATGGAGCTGGGTCCCGTTGCATGTGAAGGATTGAAGGATGGGTTAAATGCACAGGAAAAAGTGCCCTAAGGGGACAATAAACTGTACCTTTATCTACCTTGAAGAATTTCTAACTACGTGTAATAGGGATGCAACGATATGGTTTTCCCACGATTCGATATGTATCTTGATGCCTTGATGTCTTTCTGGCACTAAAACTAAGTTATATTACATAGAAATGTCTAAACAGACTGTTTTCTGACTAAAACTTATAAGAAAGAGTCTGAGAAATCGATTGCGTACATCGTGAGTCGCGTCGTGGGTGCTTATACGAGCGCATTTGATTAAAGCCGATGTAAAGCTCTTACAACCCAGCTTGTTGGGGTCAGGGAAGTAACAAAAAACCAAGATGGATAATGGAATAAATTAAATAATGTTTAATTAACAGGAATGTGAAAGATAAATTAACAAAACAGACTGAAATATATACAGAAAATAATCTAAACTAAGAAACAAAACAGCAGGATTAATGAGTTTTGTGCCACAAAACAGGTCACGCAGGTTTATACAAAAACAAGTGATTAAACTAAGGGCTACACCCAAAACTAAAACACAAGTGCCCCAAAGTAAACCACATAAACTCACAAACAGAATCAATTAACAAGTTAAAAAAGGCACAAAACAGAACTAAACAAAAGTGTCTTAAAACAAAAAAAGCCAAAAGCGATTCTGAAGTATTTAAAAGTTAATATCTTTGTAATTCCTGAGTCTATCAATGTAAATTAAAAAGTGATTGAAAGATAAAAACCTACCTCTGTTAGAATATTTCAGCTCTAAGTCCCTATGGAGCTGTTTTCTTGCTGCATTTGAAGAGGAGACTGTGATAACTCTTTTCCTTTCGGACCAAAATAAATGACAACAAGCACTCATGACATGTGTATCGAATCGTGAGACCATTATCTAACGATTCGCTATTACATCGAATATCTTTGCATCTCTAATGTGTACCTGTTTTGTTGTTGTGCTGCCAGGCCTGACGCAGCTGTCCCACACCATGTCCTCTCCGGTTAATGTGGAAGCCTTCCTCCCTGGACACTTCGAGGTCTTTGACTTGAAGCCCAATGGGAAAGTCCAGTCTATTCAGATGGAGGCTTTTCACTGCTGCACAAAGGAGCCTGCCCACGCCATCTACGACTCCGTGGAGAGACTGCCCACAAGTACAGTTTACTCTCTTTTTAAGCATGTACATTTGTCTTTTTGTAGTTGTAAGTACCATATTTTCCGTACTATTAGACGCGCTCTTAATCAAAAAACGACTGCACGCCCCACAATCCAGAGCGCCCTATACACGAATCCACTCGGGTGTCCCAGCACGACTTCAGTAAACTACAAAACCACATCACAGTGACCGCAGAGCGAAAAACACCCACAGACACACTCATCACTCAACGCTGATGAGGAACGGAACGGAACGGAGGAACGAACCGAAAAAGCGAGTCAAATGTGCCACTTCTGGACAAAACTGAACAACTGAGTCACTGCAAATACGCCGACAATCCAGCGGTCCCAGACAGCACCCTCCCTACACGCCACAACTGAACAAAGCCCAGAGTCACCATGAACGCACCAAACAAAGTCCCACTGACTAGTGATGGGCGAATGGAGCCTCGTGAAGCATTGACACCTCAGTCGCAATATTGTCTCAAATTTTCGACGTGTCTGAGGCCTCAGAGAAACACTGACCTCTAGTGGACAAATTTAACCATTGTCACGGTCAGGTGTCTCAGCATCGATGAAGTATTGTTAGTGTAAGACAATACTTGTGTGCAGAGCGACACCGCACCAACAACAACAATAATAAAGATGATTTAAAATAATATGTAAAGAGCAACATAAATAGCAGCTGTAAATAAGAAAATAGGTGTGACCTTGTTAAGTGGAATTAGATCAAAATGATCCCAAACCATGGATCGCTTTTTTCCACTTGTAGATGCCATCGAAAATGAAACAAATGCCTAACGTCACACAATACTCCTCACTACCCAACATTTTTAAGAAATATTGGTGCATCTTTTATACTGTAGCAGTTTAGCGCTTGTCAAACCACGGAAGTGCGCTGAACACTCTGAAGGAATCTGAACCAATCGCAGAGCCGAATATTCCCTGAGCCAATGAAACGCTTCGATACACTGAAGCAATTGACACACAGAGCGAAGCAGTAGGAGGAGGGACGCTTCCACACTTTGGTCACGTGAGCGGCTGCTGCGAGACGAGCTCCGAGGCAGCGCTTTGGAGCAATTTGTTAAAGAAAGAGCGAGACGTGCTCAGGAGCTCCGACTCATTTACCCATCACTACCACTGACCCATCCAACTGTTATGTTTCGTTTAAAGTCCGGTGCGGTTTATTTGTGAAAAAAGTTTAAAAATAGAGCATTTAATGACAGTGCCCCTTATAATCCAGAGCGCCTAATAGTGCAGAAAATACGGTAAAAGATGGACATAGTAACCCACTAGATGCTGCGTTCCAAATAGGAGGTGAACATTTACAGTGAAAAATTGTCACTGCTGCTGTGAGCCTCGTCAGTTTGTTCTTTAAATGTTCATATTCACCCACTCTACATGATCCTGGTGTTTTTATTTATATGTATACAGTCTATGCTACACATTCTCATTTTAAACCTTCTAAAATTGAGATGCAAATTAGATTTTTTTATGGCCGAACTGGACGTTGAAGCATGGATTGTGTGTAGATGCTGTGATCAATAGTTCACTTAACGTTAACAAGAGCGCAGAAGAGAGACGCCTGTGCACATGAGCTCCCTCTTACCACAGCTCATGATTGATTTAGGTGTCAATATGGAAATCATGTTTGCTTGGGCACCAGTGGACACTCCCATAGAACACATGCAAACCACACAGCCGTCTCTCAGCATCATGACAGCGAATAATGAAGATTTAAGCTCCTGTATTGCACTAAATGGACTCGTGTGAGCTTTAAGTCATGTTATAATGTTGTTACCTCATCAAAAACAGACCTGGAGTTGGGTTTTCTTTTCATTCACATGTTTGAATAATCCTTTATTTAGTCTGTTTACATCTCCCAAGCTCAAAATGCTCTGTTCCACCCAGTAATTTTCAAGTGAACAGCCCCTTTTACCTTTTGTCACGATTTAAAAGGAGAAGCGCACAGTTGTTTAATGTAACAAGAACAAAGACCAGAAGAAACCAAATCCAAAAATCCAAAATAGAAACTTGCAACAGACATGATACTGACAATAGGCTGTAGTCACGCTTACATCACAAACCAGGAAGACGTTTGGAAACATGCGATTACAACTTCCGGTGCGCTCTGTTCGTGGTTAGTCTGACAAAATCTAGAAAAAAAGAGAAAATGTCCCAGTTTTCTCCATCTAAATGTCATTGTAGTGCTCAGTTATGTTCAGCTAATCAACAATTCCAACCATACCTCAGTTTTCATCATTTCCCCACTGACGCACAACTCCGAGCGCACTGGGTACATGCGATTAGAAGAGATGATGCAAATTCAAGATGATTCCAAACAGTACATACGTCTGCAGTCTTTATTTTACCACTGATCATATTTACGTCAATGGGTTTGATCACAGTCGGTCGGCGAGCCCAGTGTCAGGAACTACACCGAAAGTTGTCATGAGATGTTTCCAAACGTCTTCCTGGTTTGTGGCGTAGGCGTGAACAGAGCCTATGGGCCACCAAAGGGCAGAGGAGAACACAGAGTATATATGCACGCTGGGGAAACAAAAAACTACAAGCAGACAGGACAAATGTCAAATAAAACACCAAGGGGACACTATGCTAAAGGATTAAGATAGACCAAAGCAAGAACCATGACAGTCTGATGAGGTTCATTTGGTCTTCCGATATTTTATGTTATTAGGTTCTTTTTTCAGACCAAGGATTTGTTTTCATACCTGACAGTTTCGACTGCTCACTAGCGGTCTTCCTCAGAGTCACGTGATGTTGCTGTTACTGAGCAGTCGAAACTGTCAGGTATGAAAACAAACCCTTGGTCTGAAAAAAGAACCTAATAACATGAACCATGACACTTTTTTAGCTTTAGTTCAGTAGAGATTGACAATTCCAGGTTGAAATCTTCCAAATGATTCTAGTGAAGGTGTGTGTAGTTTAAAAACACAGTGGAGCACATCCTGTATCCTGTGTTTTCAGTTTGAGAGAAGAACTCTAAATATCTAAATCTAGTTTAAATCTGCGGGGTTTGCGTGTTTAAACATGTGTGAATGAAACAAAACACAACATCAGGTCTGTTTGTGACGAGGAAACAACATTATAACATCGATCAGAAACATAGGCCCTTTAATAATTACTCATATTGTTGTTGCATTTATTTTATCTGCTGATGTTGTTAAATCAGGTTTTGATGAGGAGACGGTGAAGAGTAACATCAGAGCTCTGTTTGAGAACGCTGTGAGGAAACGGCTCATGGCTCACCGCAGAATCGGCTGCCTTCTCTCAGGTACGTGAACCACTGTCTTATCATCTTTTACTGATGTAAGCGCGTCTGGTAAAACCTATGAACCTATGGTGATGTGAGTCTTCTGTTTTTGGAGACTTTCTGATCCCAAGACCCATGTAACTCTCCCAATTTCTATAGTTTTGAGTCACAGTGTTATGACGAAAGTAAAGTAACTGCGGAATAATTTTATATAAACAAAAAATTCAGACATTCCGAGACTTTCTGGGCCAACTGCGATCAATAAACAGTATTTTTACGTCATACAGTTTTTTTGGCCCATCCAGAATATTGATTGAACTGATATTTGGAAGATGATAACCGATCCAGAATTTTTTTTCAGTATTAGCGCCATTGTCTGATACCAGTATGAGATTTTTGCATCCCTAGTTTTTTACTTACTCGTCTTAAAAATGACAGATATAGTGAAGGGCACTGTGGTTGTAGTGGTTTAGTAGGATTCATAAACTGTATTTGTGTTGTCAGGGGGTCTGGATTCGAGTCTGGTGGCAGCTACTCTGGTGAAACTGGCCAAAGAGGACAAACTGCAGTACCCCATCCAGACCTTCTCCATCGGCTCAGAGGACAGCCCCGATGTTCGGGCTGCTCGAAAGGTTACATTACATTTACCTTTGTTTCATTTTTTTTTTTTTGTGGGTTGTGGTTTATTTTTCATAGCATTTGTCATTACATTTATTTGTCATTACATTTTATAATCAGTGTGAAAAATAATCTACATATTGGAAAGTTTCATTAATATTTAGCATTAAAAATATCCTACAGTGTATGTACCGTATTTTTTGGACTATAAGTCACTCTAGAGTACAAGTCGCACCAGCCAACAAAATGCATAATAAAGAAGAAAAAAACACATATAAGTCACACTGGACTATAAGTTGCACTGTTTTGGGGAAATTTATTTGATAAAATCAGAGACCAGGAACTCACATTTCATCTTGAAACGCAAGGTATAATAAGAAAAATAAAACAGAGAACAACAGACTGTTACTGTCACATATGAACAGTTCTTCAGATAATTATAGCATAAACAACAGAACAGAACAATTTTACCAAACTCTCCATCTCACTCAGAATCACTAAATCCATTGAATTCTTCATCCTCGGTGTCACTTCTGAGCAACTTCACGACCTTCGGAGGTAAACAGAGCACCGCTTCCTCTTCTGCGTAGCTGTCGTCAGCATCAGGTCCAGTTAGAATTATTTCAGCCTTCATGAATCCCGACAGGATTGTTTGTCGCTTTGTCCATTCATCCAGTGACTTCCGGGAAAGTTGCATGGTGCATCCTCCCAGTTGCTGTGAAGCTGTGTTCTTCATCCCCGCTTTTCCCCAGTCCCTCACAAGTTTCTCGCTCACTCCAAACTTTCTTTCCGCTGCTCAGTTACTGTTTTCGGCTGAATATTTCACTACTTGCAGCAGGACAGAGGCTTTTTCTGGAGGAGACATGCGCAGTAGAGTGAAGTGACAGGAGCAGCAGATACTGACACACAAGCCTGGAGCCTCTCGTGGATGCCAGTGTGAAAAGTTTAATATATAAGTTGCACCGGAGTATAAGTCGCAGGAAACACCCAATCCATGAAAAAAAGTGTGACTTTTGTCTGAAAAATACGGTAATAGTTCGTGTGTTTCTAGGTGGCTGCTCACATCGGCAGTGAACATCATGAGGTGAACTTCTCGGCGGAGGAGGGGATCCAGGCTGTAGAAGAAGTCATCTATCACCTGGAGACGTACGACATCACCACCATACGAGCCTCTGTGGGTGGGTAAAGTCTCAAAAATCCACGTCTCTGGTTATGTATCACAATGAACGTACTGTGGGTTAAAAGAGAAAAAAAAATGAAACTGAAAATTCTATAAATGTAGTCCATTTTGTGAGGGCTTTTTTTTCCTTTTTTACGACCTTCTGTAGTATTTTCCACTATATGAACAATCTGCCTAAACATCCGTGTGCCCAGTGATGTGATACAAATGTGTCTGGTATGTGTCTCCTTCCACCTCAGTGACTTCTCTGAATAACTCTGGAATTTCCAACTTTAACAGACACAAAAATGCAGATGGTTGTAAAGTTCCTGTGTGATTCTTTACATTGGTCATATAATATAATAATATAGTATAATATAATCCTAAATATCTCTTCTTGTTGTAGGTATGTACATTGTGTCTAAGTACATCCGGCAGAAGACGGACAGTGTGGTGATCTTCTCTGGCGAAGGGTCTGATGAGCTGACTCAGGGATACATCTACTTCCACAAGGTTTGATGTCAACTCAGATGAAATATACCGTATTTTTCAGACTATAAGGCACCCTGGATTTAAAGGCACAATATCAATTATGTTAATTCTCTCGTCTATTTTCATACATAAGGCGCATTAAGTGAAACAAACGGACGACACTTGAGCTTGATCCTTTAGTCCAGGCGTCCACGATCCATTGGCAGATCGTGGCGCAACTCACCCGGCGTTGCCTCCCTGTCTTGGTGAATGTGGATTGTGAATGTGAATGTGGGAGGATAATTTAAGTTTGTTTTTTATTTTCTACGAAGAGAACTCAAATATACATTGAGTAATAATGTGTTTAATGCAGCTTTGCACATTAAACATGTTTAATTTTACAGAAACGAAACTTAAAACCACATGGCTAACTCCTGTGCCCTGATGCGGTCTGCTACTTTCGGACTCCGCGATACTCCTGACTACAGTAGCCGTAATGCTCCGACAATCCATCAAGTGGTGCAGCTTCGTAGCTTACCAAAGTCGTACTTAAACAATTTGTCAGATTTTTGAGAGCCGTCTACCACAAAAATCGGTTCGAGGTCAGTTAGCACAACCAGAATTAATACATAAGGCGCACCTGATTACAAGACACCCTGTCGATTTTTGAGAAAATTAAAGTATTTCAAGTGCACCTTATAGTCAGAAAAATATGGTAATACAAATTTAAAGTGTGTAGACATGTTGCTTTACTAAAGAAGGGTTATTATGAAAAAACAGTCTCTCCTAGGCTCTTCTTACGTTTAGGAGTACGAATCCACATACAAAGCTCTGCCCACAAGCCTATGTCACCCATTCTCCAATGCCATTTTTAATACATAAACAAAAAAACAATACAGTACAACATGACAAACCTGATGGTCTGTGCAGTAGTTTCATGAACGGGAATATGAAGCGGGTAAATAAATTCCTATTCCGAATATAAAACTCGGCTCCAAATTCACTCCTATACCTGCAGTGTGAGTTCATTGAGCGACTATGAGAGACGCCCCACTCCCTTAGTCCACTTCTTTATACAGTACTGGATTCAGAGACAGTTAAAAGCATTTTTACCACTTCAAGAGACAAATTCTGTGACAAATATGCATGAATCATGAATGAAACAAATATTACAGCTTTTTTAACATAATAACACAATATGACGGTTCAGAGGCTCAGACTGAGTTCATTTGAATACGTCCCTTTTAAATCTTGACGTTGTTCCTTTCAGGTTTCAGTAATTATTAAGTAAAGTGCCTGTTGTTCTCAGGCTCCGTCCGCCAGAGTGGCGTCAGAGGACAGTATACGACTGCTGAAAGAGCTCTACCTGTTCGACGTGCTTAGAGCCGACCGCACCACTGCCGCACACGGGTATTTATTTATTTATTTACTTTATTAACACCTCTGCACATGGGTAAGTTACACATTTCTATTACCTCAGGACGTCACGTGTTCTGATAAAAGACCAGCAGAGGGCGGTGTTCACTCACTTTTCTTTTACTGAGGCTAGAACTGTTTTTTTTTTAGTATAATATTAAACACTGTGCATACTTTACTTTATGCTTCATTTGTGCTTTTTTGCACCACAGAACTCATTTTAAATTCAGAGTCTCCGATTGTTGCAGACAGGGCCCCTCTAACAATATTTTACACTGCATGTAAAGGAATATGTCATGTTTTAGATTAGATTAATTTGTTAGAACAATACATTTGTTTGATACTAATATAAAGAAACATGGACACATTTAAAACTGGACATCCTTTGGGAACCCCTGCAATTCTTCTGAGGCCCTCCAGGTGTCCCCAGACCCCACTTTGAGAATCACTAGTGGCTCTTTGGTTGACTCTGACTGGACCCTTTAAAATTATTTGGGATTAAATGAACATATGTTATAATTTTACCTCATGCATGGACTAAAGATGCATTGGTTTCATTTTAAAGGTGTTTTTATATGACATTTTTTGTAAGGCAATCTCACTTTTTCATTGCTTAGTCATAACATAAACTCTTACTAGTCTTACCAGCTCATCAAAACAGTGATATTTACTGCTTTTTATAAAGAAAGACAATTAATATTTTGCAGTTAGTTAAGCATTGATTTAGTTGAGGGGAGCATTTCGGCCCGGCGCTGTACAGTAGTTGCTGTTTCTCATGTGGCCCCATGGAAAAAAATAATTGCCCATCTCTGACCTAGAATGCTCCACAGTACGGCAGCTCATCCATGTTGCATATTAATACTTGGCAATGAAATGGAACTTGCAGTTGTAGAATCTGGAAACCACCAATTCTAAATATCTCAAAGGTAAATTAACACATGTTGAACCTGATCATTTCTATTCGTGTCTAGACCCAATACCTCACTATTCAATTCAGTTCAAGTTTATTTATATAATACATTTAAAACAACAAGCTGACCAAAGTGCTTCACGTACAAGTCAACAAAATATAAGAAACAGTTACATATACATATATACAGATAACATGTTAAAATTACATGAAAACACCAAGATAACCTGACTATCTAAATGCCAGGGAGAAAAAGTGAGTTTTCAGTCAAGTCTTAAACTGCTTTACAGACTGAGAGGATCTAACAGAAAAGACTCTGTCACTTCTTGTCTTGAGTCTAGTTTTGGGCATGACCCACTGGAACTGGTCGGCTGATCTCAGGGCTAGCCAGGCTGGCGCCACCTAGTGCCTCCACTCAATTTCATTTCTCTCCAGCGACTAGATCAGGAGTCAGAATACAATAGACGGTTTGCAACAACCCCGGAAGTGCAAGTTCGGGCACCTGCCAATCAGCGAAGAGCCATACATTCTGTGTTGTCAACGATTCTCGAGATTAAGGATTTAAAGCCGGAACAAAGAGAATGTTTGGTGAATTTTATCAAGGGAAAAGACGTTATTGCCCTTCTTCCTACGGGATTTGGGAAAAGCTAAATATACCATTTAGCCCCGTTAGCAGCACATTACATACATCATGACCAAATAGCAGCGATTGGTTAAATTAAAAAAAAGTACCTGCTTACCGAAAAAATCCTAATGCTGCGAGGTCAGACGGTTTCCACAGAGTGAAACCAGCTAATGATTCAGGCTAATACCTCACTGTATTACAACACAAATCTGTATTTTAATATTTATTTTCGCCGACATCACATCAGTTTTTTTTTTTTTTAGTTTTATTTATTTTAAAGGGACAATGCATATTCATGAACATACGCTTGTAAATACGTCAGAGAGATAGAGACATAAAACATAAGAACATAAACACAATAGACAAACACACAAGCATGACATACAACACTGACATTTATATAGGAGCATAACACTAGTGGTTACAGATCTGGTTTCTCTTAAGCCATCATTTCAGATTAATTTTAAATGAACTGAATGTGGTGGAGCCTCTTATTGTAGCTGGGATGTTGTTCCAGATTTCTGTGCCCTTGACTGATTACACCTGTTTACTGAATGTTGTGCGTCTATCTGTATTAAATATTACTGGCTTACAGAATCTGAAAACTACCAATATGTGATGTTCTACTATACTGGAACACAACATTGACTCCTGTATATTTCCTTTCAGTCTGGAGCTGCGTGTGCCGTTCCTGGACCACCGCCTGACTGCGTACTTCCTTTCTCTGCCCGAGGAGATGAGGATCCCCAAGGTGAGAGTGGATTTACACCTCTGCTGTCGTGTTTTTACTGACGTGTATCTATGGAGCCCATTACAGCACAGTCCTGTCCTTTTTTCAACAGAACGGTGTGGAGAAACATCTGCTGAGGGACTCTTTCAAAGGCCTGGACCTGATCCCAGAGGAGATCCTGTGGAGGCGTAAAGAGGCCTTCAGCGACGGCATCATGTCCTCTAAGAAGTCCTGGTACACGTGCCTGCAGGAGCACCTGGAGTCTGTGGTAAACAACATAAACATGCCCTTTTCAAAACCTCATCCCGACACGTGAGGTTATAGTTTGTATAGATTGATGCGCCACCGCGTCGACTTTAAACAGGGATGTTGTAAAGAAAGGTGGAGGTGAAATGTAAACGGTCATATACTGTGTTCCTGCACTGCACTCAAAGCACTTAAGACGGAAGTGCCACACACACACACACACGCACACACACACACACACACACATTGTGCTATACAAGTCTATGCAAAGTGCTTTACCGAATAAGAAATACATTAAAATCACAATAAAACAAATCAAAACGTAAATAATCATCACAAAATCAAAAAGAGAGACAGACATTAATTACATAAATTAGAGAAATGCGTTCCAAATACAAAGGCAGTGAGCATTAAGGATTTAAGAATAATCGGAGTATCGTGATATCGTATCAGAAAAAGTCTCTCAATAATAAGAAAGCCTGTCTTTATTTATATAGCGCTTTTCACAGACATTTTTGTCACAAAGACGCTGTATAGATCATTACATTCAGCATTATTCATTCACTCTATACCTGGTGATGGTAAGCTACTGTTGTAGCCACAGCTGCCCTGGGGCAGACTGACAGAGGCGCGGCTGCCATGCCAATCTGCACCAACGTTCTGGTCCCTCCGACCACCACCATCACTCAAACACACACACATACTAGGCAATGTGGGAGAAGTGTCTAGCCACTAGCACCAGTGCTAATTTCCACTTGTTGTCAACTGTTCTGGAGACCTGTAGCATGATTTGGGTTGATATCGTGGGCCATCACAATATCCAATCCAATCCAACTTTATTTGTATAGCACATTTTATAAACAAAACAGTTTCCAAAGTGCTTCACATAGCAATAAAAAACATTTTACTTAAAAAAATCTGCAGAATTACAATGTAATACATATAAGCAGTATTAAAAAGTAAAAATACAATAAAAATAAAATACAATAAAATAAATACAATAAATAAATAAAATTAAAAGCCAGAGAATAAAGGTGGGTCTTAAGACTTATCATAAAGACTTAAAACACTGCACGTGGGTGATGTTCGGATGTGGGGAGGCAGAGCGTTCCAGTTTGGGGCTGGTCACAAAGAAGGTCTGGTCCCTCTGGTTTTAAGTCTCGTTTTAGGCCCCACGATCTGGAGCTGGACCTTGGACCTCAGCGCACGTGCGGGGGTGTAAATTTGGATGAGGTCCAAGATGTATTGTGGTGTCAGTCCATTCAAAGCTTTAAAAACAAATAATACAATCTTAAAATCAACTCTCAAATTAACAGGAAGCCAGTGCAAAGACGCAAGAATTGGGGTAGTATATCAAATCTCGTGTCTTTGCTCAAATGAATTGTTACGTGCAGCAACAGCTAAAAGAAACAGAGAGAACTACATAGACCAGGAGTCTTCAACGTTTTTCAGGCCAGGGACCCCAAAACTGATGGAGAGCTGGAGTAGAGACCCTCTACTATATATATGACATACAATTGTGTTTTATATTAAATTGGGCCTAGAGTCTCATATAAACAGCTACTGTTATTGTACATTTAATACTGGAAGGTATTTCATTAGCCAGACTGACGCCACCTAGTGCCTTCGTTCAATTTCATTTCTCTCCAGCGACTTGTTCAGGAATCAAAATACACTAGACGGGTCGCAAAAACCCCAGAAGTGCAAGTTCGGGTCATACATTCTCTGTTGTCAACGATTCCCAAGATCGAGGATTTGAAGCCAGAATAAAGGAGGCGTGTACCTTCAACAGCCTCACTCCTGATTGGCTGTTTGGTTTCGTGCTCAGATTTCCAAATATGGTCCCTGGTTGCAGATTAGCCGCATTAACTGCTGTCCCTGATGAGCTTCATTTGGTTGCAGCTGAACCTATGCACCTCCAGTACTTTAAAGCAGTGTTTCCCAAACTTTAAAAGTCACAAACAAACCAAACATATTTTAAAAGTCACAAACCTTCGCGACCCAAGTCCAAAGATGTTATTCGTAAATGACAAAATCAAGGTGGATTTGACCATTATTGAACATTAATGAGGATATTTTATTTATACGAGTGATCGTGTCTCTGAACAATTAGAATTATTCAAGTTTTAAACAATGAAAAACAACTGGTCATTGAACCAGAAATAAAAGGATCCATAAGTCGCCTATTTGGACATTAAATATAGAACATTTCTTTTCCTTTTCAACATTCAATTGAATAACAAAACTGGAACAAAATAGTCAATGAAATTATTACAAAAAGATTAGAAATGATACAAAACATGTCTTAACATTTAAATCTACATGCAGATAGTGACAAGAATCAAAAACAAAAATCTCTTGCAACTCACCTGATGGTTGCAACCCAGTCTTTGGGAAACAAAGCTTTAAAGCTCTATTACACAACGGTCTTGATACAATAAAGACCCATACCTCCTGATGTACAGTGCGAAATGAAACCCAGCATATGCAATGTAAATCTGTAAATTATGCATATTATATTATACATATTACACTGTAGTTTCAAAGAAATAATGTTCCAACTTTAGTTTCAGGTATTATTATCTTAAAAAGAAATAATGAGAATCTCGACCATGCTGTGAGCTCCAGACCTGCAATCAAATAAACATATAATTACAGCAGTTATGACACTGTCCCATCTGCACACTGTGTACTCTTCATACATAACATACTGTACATAACTGTGAGACTCCATATCATAGAAACGCCGTGCCACGGTGACACTTCTGCTCTGTTCAAACAAGGACAAAAAACTTAAAAAATATGTGTTCAGTTTCACATCAGTTTTTTATTGACTATTGGCTTGATTTAGGATAAGCTTAAAGATAAAAAATATTGTGTTTACTAGGGCTGGGTATCATTTAGAAGTTTTCGATACGATACATAAGTTTATACAGTGATTTTTCGATTCAGTATGATTCGATACGATATATTTCAAATCCATTTGATATGGTTCAATAAAAACTAAAGGCTAAATCATGGCTGATTAAAGTCTTTGTTAAAACACTTCTTATGAAAACACACCCATTTTAATCATCAAAACAGTGAAAATGTCAAATGTGTTGCATAAACGAGTTTCCTTCCTCTAAACAAGTAAAAAAAACTGTAGTGCTGTAAAATAATTGAGTAAAATATGCCAAAAATTACTCTTGGTGATATATCGATACAGCAGTCAGATATCGATACTGTATCATCACATTAAACAATACGATATATCAATATTTCAATATTTTTTTGCACACCCCTAGTGTTTACTGATAACAGCTGTGATGCTGATTTATTCTTAATTACAAAAACATTGGACATGATGACCAAGTTGTTTGTTTTAATTTCAGCCTCACACGACTGTATCTTGTGGGTTCCAAGTTTTAATGCTGAAATTCAGTTTGTTTAAACCTAAAATGCCTCTGATCTGAAGCGTCACCATGTAAACCCCAGCACCTATAGACAATCATGAGTCAGTGCGTCTGCTGTTACAGTGTGCAGAAGATTGATAATGTGTCACTCTGAACTGAATCCTACACATTATCAAACTGTTATGTCCCCTATATCCAACAAGGGACACAACCGTTATAAAACAATTATTGGGACAAAGTTCAGTTTGGCAAGTTTTATTTTGAGGCCAAACATTCACCAATACGTATACAAAAAAAGGCGTGTGCCAGTTGTGCCAAATAAAAGAACTGAAAATATAACAAAACAGGCCTAACTGAAAACTAGGCTACAAAAGTAAAGAAATCAAATAGCGTGGTCAATCTGATCTCAAAAAGAGAACCTGGATACTTTAATACAACAAAGGTGGCAACAACTGATAAAAGTAGTGTGTCTAACAAAGAAAAACTACGTGGTGCAAGGTGTCTAGGGATCCCACTTACCTAACCAACCTCCCAACCAAACAATACCTGATGAGCAGAGGTAGCATAATAGAGAGAGAGAGAACAGCAGTACACAGCCCTTTTTAAATTGTCCTCTCCAACCTGATTGGCTGGTAGCTGGCCAATCAGAGCTCCAGTCAGGTCCTACCCACAGCACCTGAACACAGACAGCGCAGAGACAGCAGTACACACTACACACACACACACAAATGCTTGCATGTAACACAGACTGTGGTGACTCTCGCTGAAAGAAAACATAGAGTATCATGACCATTATTTGAATCTGATTGGTCATCACAGCATCACAATAGCGGAAGAAGCCAAAAATAAAATTAAACAAAGCTCTTATGCACGGTTCTCACAAACTAAATAGTCTGTATTAATGCTAAAATAGGCTCAAGTATGTTTGTGCACATCCCCATGTTTGTTTTGTTTTGTTTGAGCGCTTCTTCTTAGACTTCAGGGCAAACTTCTGTGACGTGATTGGTCGCCCACCTCTTAACCGATACAGCAGGCGCCAAGTTGGATTCTCATTTGTGAACTCAGTAATATCTTGAGAATCCACCTCCCTGAGCTGGATTATAACATGCTGACCATAAACTGAGCATGAGAAACACGTGTATGTGTCGTGTCTCTGCAGGTTGAGGCTCTGGAGACACAGACTCAGACGTGTTTATGGTTCCATTTGTACTTTATATTAACTTATTAAAAGAGCAGACAGTTCCTTTTAATTTGACAGTTCTAGTGAATAAAGTATTTAGGCCGTTTATAACTGTGTCTTTATTTTTCCAGGTGAACGATGATGAGATGATGAAGGCTCACGTCACATTCCCCCACAACCCCCCTCCCTCCAAAGAGGCCTATTATTACAGGCAGGTGTTTGAGAAGCACTTCCCCGGACGCGCCCAGTGGCTCTCTCATTTCTGGATGCCACGCTGGATCAACGCCACGGACCCCTCGGCCCGCACGCTCAGCATCTACAAACCAGAGAAGGACCAGTGAAGCCCGCTGCCTCCCCCTGCTGCTCGGGAGCTGCTTGTGTGCAAGTGCAATTAGACTGTTAGTGTCGTACATCAGGTTTACTAAATTTTCTCTACATCCTGTTGCATAAAACTAGGTGTTGATAAACTGATGAAGGACCGTTATAATCCTAAATCAAGCTTCTAGTCTTAGTGTTTTGTCAAATATACCTGGCGTTGGGTTTTGTTTCAAGTAGGCCTGTAACGATAACAGATTTTGCTCGATGATTAATTGACCAAGAATTTATTGCGATAAACGATAATATTGACATTTTGAGACCAATTTCAACTAATATAATGATCTTGGAATAAAAATGCAAATACACCCTTTCAAAGATCAATAAACCTTACTTTCTAAAGAACATTTAACACAGAAACTGTAAGACAACCAAAAAATATAGACTTGAATAAAACAAACTTGATAATATTAGAACAGCCTAATGTAGTCTGGTTTACAGCAAGGACACTTGAATAAACCATTGTTGAACCAAACACAACCAAAACAATAAATAAAATGGAACTGGAACTGTAACTGTATTGACTTCCATTGGAATAATGTGTCTCGTCACTCTGTGGCTGCTGCTGTGAGCCTCGTCATTTTGGTCTTGAAGTTTTCGTATTAACCCGTGACACAGAATCCTGTTTCGCTCTGAGGGAGCCTGTGTCCTGTCTGGTATCATGTCGGTTTCTTGTAGGATTTCGGGATTTCGGGCTGTCCCAGGTCGGGGCGGTTTGTGTCGATCGGGGTTGGGTGTGCGTCGGCTGTTGGGGTTTGAGACATTTCTTCTCGTCGTTTGTGTTTCGCTCGCTGCATTTGACACAAGTGGCCGTTAAGACGTGTCCCACTCCCTCGTGTTGATTCGGCATCGTGACTTGTTTTGTCACATGGCGATGAACTGTTTTGGTCCTGACGGCGGCGCTAGCTTGTGTTGCGGCATTTTCCTCACTCAGCATCCGCTGTGTTGTTAAACAAATAATCCGTCTAGTCTGCGCTGGCACATTTATTCAAGCGCCATTAAACGAGTTAAACAAGAGGAGTCAGAGAGCGATAGAAGCCTTTTGACATTCAACCTCTTTGAGAGCGAGAGAGAGACAGAAGAATCGTACGATTAATTGATTTATCGGTTATCGTTACAGGCCTAGTCTCATGTTCTTGAGCCCACTGCTGCTAACTGTGTTTTTGTATGCTTAAAATCAGGGGGAAGCTTTAACTTTTTTATTTTTAATTTTTTCTGACCTTAAAGCTGCCATCTGTAAGTTTGTTCGATTTTGTTTTTTTGTTTTTTTAACCAGTAAATGGCAGCTGTGAAACCTGTTCCTCCCTCCCTCTCCCCTCACCTTTGTTCAGACTCCATTTCTCAGTCTGCAGACTGCGTACTCGTGTAGTCCCAGGTCCAGACTTGTGTCGCAGACTCAGAGAATGGACTTGAGGAGTTCACGAGCACACACACTCTCACACACTCACACACACACACACACACACACACACACACACACACACACACACACACACACACACACACACACACACACACACACACACACACACACACACACACACACACACACACACACACACACACACACACACACACACACACACACACACACACACACACACACGGATGCTCGGCTCTCAGCTTTTGGGACAGGTGGACTTAAAAATAAAACTCATGCGGGTCCTCGCTGTAATCTAATATTACATTTTATTTAAAAACATAAAAATATTTATTCTTTGAGCGACCTGCAGATTTAGACTAATTATGGTGCTGCTAATTAATATTTAAAGAATTATAAAAGAAAATATAACTAAAAAAATAAATAAATACATTAAGATAAAAAAAAAAAAAAAGCTTAGACTAATTTATTCACTATTCAAACTGAGACACACTCATATTTCATTCATATTTTAATTTGATATTATATATTAAGCTCTGAGGAAATAGAAGCAATGAGTAGTTTTAGCAGTAATAGGTAATTATATATAATAATTATAGGTCTCATAGTTATATAGTGTTTCCAAATGTGATAAATATGATAGGACTTTCAATATAATATCACTTTTGCTGATTTCGGACTAAACTTTTCAGATACTCTGTCTATCACAGTCATGGCCAAAACTGTGGCACGTTGGCATCTGTTTGTCCCATATGGGCCCGGGGAAGGTGAGTGGGTGAGTTTGAGCAACACAGGCTGGCGTACCTCCTCCTTCAGCTATTGTTCAGAGTCTGCCATAAAGTTTTAGTTTTCGTAATGTTTCTCACCATTCAAAGAGCGTGTTGTTCAGGTGAAACTGTGACCATCCTCAAGTTATAGATGGATAAACCTTTTTGCCTGGCGACCCTTGACCTTTAAATTACTCTGGGTTACCTTCACATCACAGAAATTTGAACATATTTTTAACATTTCACTGCTGACGCTATAGAGGCTTTGCACCGTCACGTGTCCCCATGGCAACGGTAACTACGCCGCCATGACACCGGGCACGTTATGCCATTGACTTCAGCAGCATTGAAGAAACATGGGCAGGTTTTGTTGTGTATTTGGGTGTTTTAGACGCTCTGATAGGGATAAAACGATTCGTTTCTTCACTGTTCCTCTGGAAATTACTCATCAGGAGCTCAAACAAGGGAATTATCGAAAAAAAAGACAGGAATTATGGCGAAGAGATTTCCTATGGTAACATCAAGACACACTCATGTCACTTTCATCAAGGTATTTGCTTTTTAAATTGTTTCATAGCTTATTTAATGAGAGAAGCACATTTACTGAACTAAAATTTAAAAAGAAAACATTTGCAGTGTGAGTGGCAGTAGAAACTGTATCTTCCAACGCACATATAAACATGTCACTTGCCGTAGGACCGGTTTTCTTTATTGTCTTGCTTATCCACAACTGTGTCTTCTAGAATTAATCTTTTCATGGCCGATTCTTTAGAGGTTCGACTCAGACTCTTTGACTCGTGCGCCATGTTGATCATAGGAGCCCAGTGTGGGTTTGTTGAATCGTAAACTAATGCGGGTTTTCCTGGATAAATTTATGAAATTTTAGTTCAGTAAATGTGCTTCTTTCATTAAATAAGCTATGAAACAATTTAAATACTTAGGGTGTCTTGATGGTACCATTGGAAATGGTAACTTTATTTCTACACCCCAATTAAAATTTAATGTCCTTTAAAGCCACAGTATGGAACTTTTAAGCCAAAACATAGATTACGATAAAATGCATATGTATATTTTTTATTTGGTTGTGCTAATTGGTCTGTAAAACTCCAGAAAACATGCACCCTGAGCCTTATGTGGCCTGATGGAGGACTAATCTTTCACATTATGTCATAACACGTGTCTATCCCTATGAAGAATGTTCCGTAGTATCGTTTTAACTTTCTGTGTCCTTAGAAACGTGCAGGTGATGTGTAATTTCTGAATGAACCTATGCAGAATTACCTCATTTTCATTTGATTACCACATGATAATTAAGTTTTATCAATATGTAAATGCAATGCTGCTAATTAAAAATGTATTTCTATATGGCTGATGAGCTCTGCCGATATTTTGGGGCAGATACGTGGAACCGATTTAGTATTTTTTTCTGAATTATCCAAATTTAAATATAGTACAAACTCATCCACAACTTTCCTTTACTTCAAATTGTGTAGAGCAGCAAATTCACAGAGGCCAAAATTAAAAACCGGGACATTGTGGGCCAAACTAAATATTTATTGAACAATTTCATCAACATCTGCATGTTTTCTCTTCTTTTGAGATACGTAATGTTAAACCTTTTCTTATTAAAATAAATGTTTAATAATAGTTTTGCTTAAACATTGAATCTATAACAAGCATCATATGAAATAATAACATTTTAAATAAATAATGTCTCTATAGTCTATCTGTAGCCGGTGGGCAGCTCTAATATATATTTGATATGATCTCACAGGCCAAATATAATTACCGTATTTTTCGGACTAAAAGATGAGTATAAGTCGCAGGAAACACCCAAACCATGAAAACAGTGTGACTTATAGTCCAAAAAATACAGTATATCGTGGGCAAAATGTTATCCCCAGGCCTGAGTTTGACATGTCTGGTGTAGAGTCCAGTGTAGGCACATATTTACAATCCCCTCTTTGGACTGAAGTGTTCAAATAAAGCTTTATGCAGATATTGACCCTTGCTGGAGATTTCTAGCTGATAGCTGATACTCTAAAAAGGGCAAATATCGGTCCTTTATATCGATCTCTAGCTGCAACTGTGAATTCTTAATGCTTTCTCCAAAGGTCTAAACTTTCTGTACTGTTGGGCTTGTGAACATCTAAGCTTTTCTCACTGATGCTGATTCATATGTCAGGGCCGAAGAGCCGCCGTCACCCACATTTCACTGCTGAATGAGGCTTAGTCACGCTACACTAACAGCAGTCATTGTATAGTAGCTCAATCATGTTTCTTTTCACTCTTTTTCATCAAGTGGCTTCATTTTTTTTTTATGTCTCGCTGACCACTAAATTAAATAAGTTTGGCTACGAAAACCGTGTGTCGTTGTTTGTATCATGTCATTGTGTTTGTGAGACTTTTTAAAGGTCTTATATTACGCAAAATGTGAGCTTTTAGTCATTTAGTCGTGTTGTAATGTTGTTTCCTCATCTACCTGGAGTTGTGTTTGTTTGAGCAACCCATTATTATTCATTCATTTCCATCTCCAAAGCTCAAAATGCTGTGTTCCACCTTGTGATGTCATGAAGCGGTAGTTTTCAAGTTAACAGCTCCTTTTACTGTTTTTTTTTTTCAGTAGAGATGGGCAATTCCAGGGCTGAAATGATCCAAATGATTCTCCTGAAGGTGTATAGAGTTTAAAAACATAGTGGAGCACGTCCTGTATTACCACATGACATCACAAAGTGGAGTGTCTCAGCCTAATTATGCAGGGTTTGTGTGTTAATTAAACATGAGTGAATGAAAAAAAACAACTCCATGTACAGTATGTTTTTGATAAGGAAACAACATTATAACATAGAAAATAGTCTAATATAAGCTCTTTAATTCATCAGTTTTATTATTATTTAGCATCTGTATTAAATATTAGTCTATAGAATATTGTAAAGTCACCTTAAATCCAAAAATACTCAAAGGTATTAAACAAAAAGCCCACTAATTATCACTTTTTCAGAATAGTTGACACACATTTCTTAATTGGGACAACACAATCAAATACGCAGATTTAATTTTGGTTTACAAAGTTTTTCATAATCTTGCTCCACCTCGTCTAAAGGAGTTTGTGAAAAGAAATTGAAATCGTACAACAAGAGCAGCTCTAGAGGCGATGCTCTGGAAAAGTGAGAGGAAAAGTGCTCTTGGACAGACTTTTGTTTATCGAGCAGGTCAAACGTGGAACACAGAGCAGCTCATGTACGAGAACTTTCAACACTGCAGCATCTTCTAAAGCTTTAAAACAGTGATGTTCAATATGGAAACAATTTTGAGCCAAATAGTTCAACACTTTTAAAACATCAAGCAAAAAATATAAATAAAATACAAAAAAATAAAAAAATAAATAAATACATGTGCAATCAAATTATTTTAAATTCTTCTTCTTATTATTATTCAAATTATATAAAATTATTATAACTGTAAAATATCTGTCTTTGCCTCAGATTCCAGGGCAGGCGCCAAGTTCAGCTGTCCGTCAAACATAAATTAGCCAATGGGAATGCACCTGTGGAAATCCCGCCCACCTGTCAAGTCTGTGCCAAAACTCCAAGCAAAAAGTCAGAGAACGGAAACGAAAAAACTGGAATCACAACCAAAAAAAAAAAAAAAAAGCATCAAACAAAACTGAGAAAGATGCAGAACAAAAAACAAAATGTTTCCAAAGAGGCAAAGACAGATATTTTACACAATTACACAAATAATTTGATTGCAGATTTATTTATTTTATTTAATTAAACATTCTTTGTTTGATTTTATTTTTATTTGGTAATTTGATTTGTACTTTTTTGCTTGATGTTTTAAAAATGTTCTTTGATTTATTTGGCTCAAAATTGATTCCATAGTTCAATGGCCAAATATGTCACCGTGTTTAATCAAATTACCTTTTTTTATATATATATATATTGAGAGGTTGTTGGTTTAACTCTTTATCTTTTGACTTCGAACTTCAAATGAACTGTTTGAAATGACTTGTATGTACAGTGAGTGTGTTGTATGAACAGTGTGTTGTATATATAGTGTGTGTACAGTGAGTGTGTGTACAGTGAGTGTGTTGTGTGTATAGTGAGTGTGCTGGTGTTATGTACTTTGGTGTGATTGTTGCTGTACTTTTCCCCGTCCTGTAGATCACTGTTTCCCAAACACTGTGTCGTGACCCTCAGGTGGGTCACAAGAGATTTTTTTGGGTCAGCTTGTCATGATCTGCATGTCGGTCTGCAATATACAGCTCTGCCACATGAGAATGTGTGTGTGAATGCGCTCATATGTTTCACTACTACATATTTGTGTAAATTGGGATTTTCTGTGCTCACAAAAATGAAGACAAAGCACAGAAACAGACTGAAAGCTGCTGCTGATCTGCTGTTGTGTCTCCTCCTGCAGACAGGCCCACCTATCTCTTTAGAAATGTTGAAATGTTAAGACATGTTTTGTATCATTTCAATTTTTTTTTTCTATTTTGTACCAATATAGCTGGTTCAATTGAATGTGGAAAAGAAAAATAATTGGGCTATAGTTAATGTCTAAACCGGCCACTTAAGGACATGTTTTATTGCTGCTTCAGTGACTGTTTTTCATTTAAACCTTGAGTAATACAAATTGTTCAGAGACACTCGATCACTCAGTCAGCAATAAAATATCCTCATTTCATGTTTAATAATGGTCAAATTCACTTTTATTTTGTGATTTACGAATTACGTCTATTGACTTAGGTCGTGAAGCTTTGTGACTTTTAAAATATGGGTCCCCAGATAAAAAGTTTGGGAAACAGCAGTGTAGATGATTTCACATCAACCTGCTGAGGGACTGAAGATGAAAATGAGCCACATTGAGTGTAATCTTTACATATTAAAATTTGAAATGGTCATGAGCTCTGGGTAATGACCGAAAGGACGAGATCGCAGATACAAGCGGCTGAAATGAGTTTCCTCCGCAGGGTGTCTGGGCGCTCCCTTAGAGATAGGGTGAGGAGCTCAGTCACATGGGAGGAGATCGGAGTAGAGCTGCTGCTCCTCCACATCGAGAGGAGCCAGAAGAGGTGGTTTGGGCATCTGTTCCAGATGCCTCCTGGGCGCCTCCCTCGGGAGATGTTCTCAGCATGGGACACGCTGGAGAGACCATGTCTCTCAGCTGGCCTGGGAACGCCTTGGGGTCCCCCTGGAGGAGCTGGAGGACATGTCTGGGGTGAAGAAAGTCTGGGAGTCCCTGCTCAGACTGCTGCCCCCGCGACCCGACCCCGGATAAGCGGAAGAAAATGGGTGGATGGATAAATGTTCATTAATATGTGCTCTCCCTTTACAAATAAATACATAAAAATAATAATAATCATTTTTAATCATAGTCTCCACTAGAGGGCCCCTTCTCCCACACTTTCCCCATTCCACCCACTCCAGACTTAATAAAACTCACACTCACTGAAGTTGAACAGGTAAAGAAAATAATTTTAATATTTGTCCCACCACTGATAATAACACACAGAAATCATGGGCCTGTGAGGTTAGAATGACAGCGCCAAGAAAAGTCACTTAAAAGCCTTAATTCTCTAGACGTGTTTGGGACTCTACTGGACAATTATCACCGAACTCTTATGAGGCACTAGACTGTGACTTTGGCAGTGCAGTGTTCTCCAGACCCCGAGGTACGGCCTTGCTTGGATGGTCCACAACAACAAATATAATGGGCCAAAAAATCGTCACAGAAACTAACATCAAATAAATGACACTGTACCTTTTTTTATTTTTACATCGTACTTTCAGTAAACCTGTCACGAAAACCAATTTGGAACACTCTAAATGAAAGTATTCTAAATGTAAGATGTTGTTAAAGGTGAATTGTGTAACTTTTTTGGTTGAGTGTATCATTGCTCTGTCTGGAATGTTCCTCAGTATGACTTTAATCAGATCTGCCTTGCGTTTATTCGTTTACAGGTGGTTTTATGGCTCAAAAATACCTAGAAAAACAGGCATTCTGACTGTGAGTGGGGTCGCCTCTCCATAGATCTGACCTGTAATATGATCTGGTTTGGTTTCCATGGAGATAGAAAGGTTTAAACCCATACTGTGGAACATTCCAGACAAAAATATTCCAGAAAACTCCATGGAGAAAAGCGTTTGACGGACGTTACGCAACGCACCTTTAAATATCGTTGTGCTGTGTAAATAAACAGTTTAAAGCTGCATTGCGTAACTTTTTTGACTCCACATAGATGTTATTGTTTCTGGCATTTCATCTAACTATCTCCATGGAAACACCAGGCCAAGTTACTGGTCAGATCTGTGGAGAAATGCGCCCAATCATGGCAATAATGTAAGTTTTTGCGGTCGTTTTTAGCTCTAAAAAACTCGTAATTGAATAAATACGAGATTTTTTTTTTTATGCCGTACTGCGGAACATCCCAGGCAAAGCAATAACATCACCACGGAGGCAAGCAAATGCAAGAAAAGTTACACAGTGCACCTTTAAGTCGTTTGTGTTTGTGATTTTAGTTCATAATTCAACCTTCTATAGCTCAAATTTTTATCATATTGCAGAAAAAATTACCAAAAATTTCCACTACTACAAAAAAAGTACACAAAAAATACTGACCCCCCAAAAATATTGTTTTATTTGTAATATACTGAAGTAAACGTAAATAGTAATTATCATGGTGCTACTGCAGTGGTGGAAGGTAATGAAGTACAAAAGTTAAAGTACAAGATTCAAGTACAATTTTTAGGTATGTGTACTTTACTTAAGTACATTTTACAGTGGATACTTTGTACTTTTACTTCACTACATTTGAGAACAGGTATATGTACTTTACTTAAGTACATTTTACAGTGGATGCTTTGTACTTTTACTTCACAACATTTGAGAACAGGTATTTGTACTTTCTACTCTACTACTTTTTAAATCTGGACCGAAAAGCAAAACGTTTTTCTTTATGGTTTGAGACTTTCTGAAATTTCTTTTTAGCACATTTAACTTCCACTAAAATCCACAAAAAAAGAATAAAATAAAAAGAAAATAACTTTATTAATTTATTTTCTTAAATTATTCTAAAAATCTGAGCAAAATACCTTTTAATTTTACTCTTAAAGCACATTTTCTACTTCAAATTTTTACTTAAAGGTGCTTTTTCTGGTTTACTTGTGTTCATAGAGATGATTGCTTTACCTAAAATATACCAAAGTATGGCATTAAACCTTTCAGTCTCCATAGAAACAAACAGGAAGCAGTTTACGGGTCAGATCTGTGAAAAGGCGACCCCACTCACAGTAAGATACATGTTTTTAAATGTATTTTTGAGCTATAAAAACACCCAGAGTTGAATAAAAGCTTCTTATATAAGTTTAAAACAACACTGTGGAACATTTTAGGCAAAGCAGCAGCATCTCCATGGTAACGAACAGGACGCCCAACCTAAAAAGTTACGCAGTGCACCTTTAAGTAGATTTTTACATGTGATACTTTCACTTGTACTTGATTAATCTTTTGAATAATCCGTGTATCATTCGTTCATTTGTTTTTCAAAATAAAACTAAAAATAAGAAAATAAAAAAAAAAAACAAAAAAAACAACGATTTTCTTCATTATTTGTCTCCAAAACTAAAATGAAAAAAATGGATAATGGTTTGTTTTTTCACTTTTTGATTTTGTGTTTAAATGAAAAATGGAAAAAACGGATAACGCCATTTCCCATTTCCGTGACTTAAACTGTGATGTTGAACTTTTGCGCCGCATATGGACTGAACCAGGACTAAACCAGGACTAAACCAGGAGTGTCGGGACGGGCCCAGAGGTGCGCCGGGTTAGACTGATCAGTACTGAGACCGGGACCAGACTGGAACCAGGACTAGGACTGAATCAGGACTGATCCCAGGACTAAAACAGGATGAAACCAGGTCTAAACCAGGACTGAACCAGGACTAAACCAGGTCTAAACTAGGACTAAATCAGGTCTAAACCAGGACTAAACAAGGACTAAACCAGGTCTAAACCAGGATTGGACCAGGTCTAAACCTGGACTAAACCAGGACTGAACCAGGTCTAAACCAGGACTGAACCAGGACTTAACCAGATCCCGGTCTCAGTCCCGGTCTCAGTCCTGGATCAGTTCTGGATCAGTCTTGGTTCAGTCTTGGATCAGTCCGTATGCGACACAAACGTTTTTTTCCATTCTTCATTTAAACACAAACTCGAAAACTGAAAAACCATTAACCATTTTTTCATTTTGATTTTGGAGACAAATAATGAAGCAAACAGCTCTTTTTTGTTTTGTTTTTTATTTTTGTTTTTATTTTGAAAAACAAACAAACGAACGACACACGGATTCTGCGTCTGTACTTTTACTTCCGTAACAAAACCCTTCCTCCACCACTGTCTGATCTGAACTGTCTAAATGTGATTTTCCTTTCCAGATTTGTGTGTGGGACAAATAAAGATCAGCACAGGTACAGCACTGCTACATCACGAGTGTAAACAGAATCTTTTTCATCGACAAACACCTATGCACAGGCTGGAGAAAACAAAACGGCCGACCCCCTCCCACATGTGAGCGATGGTGAGATGAGACGCACGGTGGAGGAGGAACGGGCTTTAGCGCCGTTTGTCGTAACTTTGTATTGTGCTCCATTCATAAGAATCTGCAAAAACAACACAGCAAACATGGGTTTTGTTTTAGAATACAGTTTTCAGTTTAAAGTTTTTTGTAGTTTAGTTTAAAATAATGAAAGTACCTGGTTCTTCTTCACTCCGTTTGCCCATTAAACCAACGAAAGAGTTGATTTTATGCCCTGAAAGAAAATACAGAGAAAAGATTAGACCATTTATCAATCATTTGTAAAACATTAAAACGGCACTTTGCAACTGTTTGATGGAGATAAGCAGGTTAGAGCACTACACTACATTATAATTCAGATCTGTGCCTATTCACAGGAAGAATCATTGTATTTTTGCGCAATAGAAACACCGGTAATGAATAGAGCTGTGCAAAAATAATGTTTAATATGATGACACAGTATTGATATTGTGGGCTGCCAAGAGTATTTTTTTGGTGTATTTTGTTAAATGATTTTGTTACAGTGCTACAGTTTTGTTAGTCAGGCTGGCACCACCTAGTGCCTCCGCTCAATTTAATTTCTCTCCAGCGACTTGGTCAGGAATCAGAAAACACTAAACCAGGGGTATCAAACTCATTTTGGTCCGGGGGCCGTATCCAACCGACTTTGATCCCAAAGGGGCCGGATCAGAAAACTCATGGCATATATACCCCAAAAATAACAAGAAGTTCAAATATTTGTGCAGAGAAACACAAATGTATTACAGAAACTGATGAACTCTTTCTTTTACAAAATATTATAATATTATGAACAACCTGGAACTTTAAGAAAAATGCAATTTCAACACAATGTTTTAACATTAACTTGTATGTAAATAGGAATAAGTCAGTTTTTCTTGATAAATTCTGCACTCGGCTCCACTTTTCTCATGTTGGACATTTTTCTGATGAGGGTGTCACGGTCAACAGTCAAAACGATCGTCCTTTAAGAGCGTTTGGAAAGAGACAAGTCTTCATTTGTGCTGCTCTGGTGGGAGGGGCCACGTACAGAGACGCTGGAGACGCTGCTGTGATAAACACCACAGAAAATTACCAATATTTTAATAGAAAATATAATTAAAATATTTTTGTAGAAAATCAGCTGAGGGCCAGAATAAAGGTCTTGGAAGGCCGGATGTAGCCCCCGGGCCGTATGTTTGACATGCCTGATCTAAACCTTTTGCAAGAATCCCAGAAGTGCAAGTTCGGGCACCAGCCAATCAACCAAGAGTCAGACATTTCCGAGATCGAGGATTTAAAGCCGGAACAAAGAGAATGTTTGGTGAATTTTATCAAGGGGAAAGACGTTATTATTCTTCTTCCTACAGGATTTGGGAAAAGCTTAATATACCAGTTAACCCTGCAGCGCATTACATACATCACGACCAAATAGCAGTGATTGATTAGTACCTGCCTACAGTCGAGCGAACGAATCCTAACACTGTGATGTCAGACAGTTTTCAATTCAGATCTGGCTCTAGTCACAGGAGGAATTATTGTATTACAGAAACACTGGTAATGATGCAAAAATATCAAAATATCAATAGATCGTATTGTTTAATATGATGATACAGTATCGATATCGGGGGCTGCTGTATCGATATATCACCAAGAGTAATTTTTTGGTATATTTTGTTAAATTATTTTGTTACAGAGCTACAGTTTTGTTGCTTGTTTGAAGGAAGGGAACTCATTTATGCGACAAATTTAACATAATCACTGTTTTGATGATTTAAATTTTGTGTTTCATATGAACTTTGCACAAGAAGTGGTTTAACAAAGACTTTTAGCATCACAGCCATGATTTATTCTTTATTTTGTGCTCTTTATTAAGTTCACTGTATCGTATTATGTATCGTATCAGCAACTTCTTAATGATTCCCAGCCCTAGTAATGAATAAATGCTGCGTCTTTGAGTGCCCCGAAAAGCGTTATATAAATAAAATGTATTATTAAAACGTCTTATTAACGTCATAACATCTCAGGGAAAACAATGACATCTCCATGGAGACAATCAGGTTACACAATACAGCTTCTCAGAACAGGCTATCGTTGCATCTGTATGACTGAAACTGTGATAAACTATGATTAAATTTTTTTTTTTTTATTATTTCAACAACTAACACATTTGAAACTGTAAGGATTTTAGGTAAGATTTGTGCAGATTTGTGCAGTATTGGCAATGGTAACAAGGACCCCATGGAGTTCCAGAAGTACATTTTACATTCTTTTTCTCATAGACTGAAACTTTGAAAACTAAAAATTTAGACTAAAAACTCTAAGGAATTGAGGAGGCTGACTGTGGTTTGGTGTTGTCGCAATTTGTCTTCACAGAAATAGATACGTTTAATGCAATGAATGTGGAGCATTCTGGACGAAGCAACAGCATCTCCATGGAAACGAGAAGGTAACAGACCCTCCAGAAAAGTTACGTATTATAAAGGCTGACCTATGACGATTATTAAAAGGCCCATATGACTCTTTACCACATACTTTCTGATCTGTCTTATAATGTTTCGTTATCACAGTCAGACCTGGAGTTGTGTTTTGTTTCACTCACATGTTTCACACACAAACCTGCAGATTTAGTTCTTCTCTCAAACAGAAAACACTCTGTTCCACCTTGTGATGTCATGTGGTAATACAGGAAGCGCCCCACTGTGTTTTTAAACTCCATACACCTTCACTAGAATCTTTTGGATGATTTCGGCTCTGGATTTGCTGATCTCTACTGAACTAAAGGTAAAAGGAGCATTTAATTAAAACTACTGCTTCATGACATCACAAGGTGGAACAGAGTATTTTATGCTTTGGAGATGTAGACAGACTAGTAAGTGTCAGCGTTTCAGATTCATGCAGCTTAAACTTAACCTGATTCATCAGCCTGTTTTACTTTGTTTCACTTGGGACAAACCGTCTGACCTCACAGTGTTAGACTTGGTTCACTCGACAGTAGGCGGGTACTTTTTATCATTTAACCAATCACTGCTGTTTGGTCGTGACATATGTAATGCGCTGCTAACAGGTCTAACTGGTATATTAAGCTTTTCCAAAATCCCGTAGGAAGAAGGACAATAACGTCTTTCCCCTTGATGAAATTCACCAAACATTCTCTTTGTTCCGGCTTTAAATCCTCGATCTCGGGAATCATTGCCAACACAGAATATATGTCTCTTCACTGATTGGCTGGTGCCCGAACTCACACTTCCAGGGTTTTGTGAACCGTCTAGTGTATTCTGATTCCTGACCTAGTCGCGCAAGAGAAATGCAACTGAGCCTGGCTAACTAAAACCTGGACCTCGTCTTCCTAAAGAGCTGAGACAGACTTCTACTTTAATGCTGTTTAAATCCAGGCTCATTATTAGGTTCTGTTTTTTCAGACCTGACAGTTTCGACTGCTCACTAGCAGTCTTCCTCAGAGTCACGAGATGTTGCTGTGACGTGTCCAGACTATAAAACCGGGACGAGGGGCTTTTTTACTCTCACACACCTGGGATGCTGTCCTGAGGAAGTCGGACTGCAGATGGCGCTGTCGTCCTGCCTCCACCAGTAGGAAGACAGCGCCAAAACCTGTTTAAATCAGCCGACCGGACACGTCACAGCAACATCACGTGACTCTGAAGAAGACCACAGGGAGCAGCTGAAACTGTCAGGGATGAAAACAAACTCTTGGTCTGAAAAAAGGAACCTAATAACAACAAAAGTGTTCTGTTTAGCTGCTCATGACTGACAGGTTTTCATTCCGCACTCTTCTCTAATTTAATGTCTCAATCTCTTTTTAATTTTATGATGATTATCTATGTTTTTGATTTGTATTTTATTGTGATTTTAATGTATCTCTGATTCCGTAAAGCACTTTGAATTACTTTGTGTACGAATTGTGCTTTAAAATAAACTTGCCTTGCCTTTCCTAATAATAAAGACACATGTTAACCAAACAAAACCCAACTCCAGGTCTGTTTTTGTTGAAATAAGAACACTATAACACGTCACTTTTGCGTAATATTGGACCTTTATAATATTTTTGTTTTGTCGGCTGCACTTTAAAACGCCGCTTCTCTTCCCAAACTTAAGGTCATGTGTCTGATTGAATTACTTTTTTACTCCAAACAAAGGAGAAACCATCTTTGAGTCGTGCTCCTCTCAAACGACCTGATCGGCGCGTGTGTAATTTGATGGACAGTGGCGGTTCGCATCAAAATGGCCGCTCTGCCAATCTCGCTAATTAACTGTGACATAATCAGCGAAATTGGCGAAGCGGCGTAAATAGATCAGTTTGATTTGGGAGTTTCGGGCTAATTTAACGAGACTTCACACATCAATACTGTACATACATTACACTAATTAGACCAAGCGCCAGTGCTGGAAGAGGTGCTGAAGGTGCACTGTGTAACTTTTCGGTTGAGGGTTTCCATGGATACGTCATTTCTCTACCTAAAATGTACCTAAATGCAGTGTGACTTTAAACAGCTCTACGTTACATTTATTCAATTACAGGTGTTTTTAACGCTCAAAAACACCTAGAAAAACAACATTCTGAATGTGAGCAAAGTCGCCTCTCCACAGATCTGACCTGTAACTTGGTCTGGTTTGGTTTCCATGAAGATAGAAAGGTTTAATGCCATACTGTGGAACATTCCAGACAAAACAATCAACATCTCCATGGAGAAATGCAAAAAAAAAAAGTTCCAATGCAGTAAGTTTAAGTATCACATGAAAAATCTACTTAAGTAAAAGTATTAAAGTACCTGTTTAAAAATGTACTTAAAGTGTAAAAAGTAAGAGTATTTCATGCAGGTTTTGAGGGCTAATAAAGCTTCAAATGTGGTTTTAATAAAGATTTAATTGTTTATTTTTTATTCCCTAAGTGTTTATTTGTATATTTGTGTTTACTCCGATTATGAGTTTCATTAAATTAAACCCCTCAGCGTTTTCAGCACATCTCAAACTATAATAAAAATACTTTTTCTTTTCAGTCCTGCTCAAAAATGTAGTGGAGTAGAAAGTACATTTACCAGATCTAAGGTGACGTTTACACTGAAACGAATCACCGTATCGGAAATGATTTGCGCCCAGACATGATCCACACAGTAACGCAAAAACACCTGAGACGCTAATCACATGACTTGGCTGGCGTCATGTCCTCACAATGTCGTGGGCAGTAAAAACAAGGAAGTGAAGCATTGTGTCTGAAGT